CTGGCTGTGGCTTTTCAACAGACATGTTCAGGCTCTGTTACTTCAGTGTTCTTGGCTCCACAGAATAGTAATGGTGGATAGCGTTAGCTGGTAAAGTAATGTGTAAAGCCATAACTTCTCGGCGTTAACCAGCGAGCTAACGTGACTCTCTTAGTGACTCCAGCCTTTGTAATGTTTTCATAAGACGACATCTGATTCTTGTTTGGCCTGACAGGCTTCAGCACAGAAACCTTTATTGTTGTTTTTACCCTTACGTGGAGTATATGTCAGAGTCTATGTTGTTTTGTGGTGTTAGGCTACATCCCGACCCGGTGTCCTCACATTAAAAGCAGAATAGTGGCTGTTCCAAGCAATAGAGGAAACAGGAGTGTGTTTCATTTCTAAGTGAGGTTACAGCCCATTGACAATAAGGTGGTGAAACTTTGATTTATTAATAAGTGATTTCATTGAAAAACTACATATAGCCCCTTTAAAGCAAAAATAGAAATAAAGTGTACACTGTAATAGTAGGAATCAAAGGAAAAGAAAGATTAGAGTAGACCTAATCTTTAATATTATATCATGATAAATCACAATATTCTTACAATACTTGAATGTCATGTTTTTTTAAAGAAGTCATGGTTTTCAAAAATAGGCAAAGTTTTCAAGGATTACTGTTATGCATATTATAGCACAGTTTAAATCGTGTGCGTGGCTTTGCAGGTTGATAGTTAGGTGTTTCCCAGCAGTGACAGCCTCTGTCATCACTGTCGATAAAACTCTCCCTCTTTTTCTCTCTAGAGTCTCTCTGCCTCTCTCTCTCTTCGGGGGGTTCCTCTCTCTCTCAGCAGTTGAATCTCACACTTTTGACATACAGGACTATCACTCTTTTTCAATCTACTTACTCTCTCACTCTGTGTCTCTGTGTCTCTTGAGGGTTGTTCCGTCTTTTCACTCCCACTCTGTATTTCATCAGAGATTGTCATCTCTAGTGTCTATGTGTGTTTGTGTGTGTGTAGAATCCCTGTCATTTAAATGAATGCTTTTGTAAGTTTTGGTATATGTTGAACCGTAGCTAAATAACAGAGAAAAGAGGCGGAGGCCGTTCAAGACAAGGATTAGCATATAAGCTGACAATTTAAGGAAAACAATAGCAAATATAAGTAAATGGGCTTTTCTGACATGACAGCTATATAACTATACATTTCTTTCACAAATGCTAATTCATAGCCTACAGAGACAAGTATGCATCTTCTGACGAGGTTAAACTATGCTGGCTACAACTCCTTATCTCTTTTTCCCATTAGACCTAGACAAGTTGTTATCCTCATGAATGTTTCTTTAATCCACGTAGTCTGTCCATTTCTGTCTCATCCTGCTTGTTATTCAGCAATAACGAGACATCATTTCGGCAAATATTTCCAGTTTCTTTGCTCAGAATTACTATGACTCTTTAGCCAAATTACATTTTTTCTTTCCCCAGTATTGAACATTCCCTGCGTTTCTTTAACATGTACACAATGCCATCATTTTAATCTTTATGGTTTTAGAGAGACAGCTTTTCTTGCCTAATTTTCTGGTATATATTCTGTCCATTTTAGACCTATTAAACAATCTTTGAAATCTGCTAATTGGCTTGCCCGTCACAACACACAGTTTGTTTAAGGTTACTGTTAGTCATTCCATATCCTTATTTAGCATTTCCCTTGCCATTTTTTCCTTTCTGCTCAGTTGTTTTCTTCCTCTTCTTCCATTTAACCATTACCCTTTCCTTTCTTGTGTTGTTGTTTCTCTGATCCCCTCTCTCCTAACACCCCTCCATACCCCTCCCCCTCCATCCCATCCGTCCACCCCCATCACAACCGGCAGCACAGTCGGTGCTCCCTCTACTGGCAACTTCAGTGCACTGTGGGCAGGTTCAGCTGTTGCCAGGGGTGACTGCATCCTGGAGGTTTGGGTTGTCTGGCAGAAGCGGATGGTTGCCGTCTCGCACGGATGAATATTGAAGCTCTGCTTTTGGCCCTGACTGAGATGTACGGGAGAAAGGGAAGCAGTGAAATTGGACAAAAATAAACAGAGAGCAAAAGGAGAGAAAATGAATGACAGAGAGAGACGGAAAAGCAGAAAAAGTCAGAATTTAGATTCATGATATCAAAACAGCCCCTTTGCTCTTTTGTGTCATCCATCTACTCACCCATGCATAAATTCAACAATGAAACAGGGAAATAGGGAGGAGCAGGAAGAAAAATTAAAACATAAAACATTAAAAATAGATTTAGAATGAGAAATGTAGCTAAAGTAGGCGATTTATTTCAGAAGCATTATTTTTTTTAAATATTTGTTAAAATTCTCTTTACATCCCAATAAATCAATAAAATAAATGTTCTGATGCAAAACTGAAAAAAATCTGCTATCTGTGGCTGTCGCAGGACTGTAACAAGCCTGCCTACCTGCGCACACTCTGCCCATGCCTTCACTGCACTGTTAACTGTGGGAGTGGTACACTGGGGTAGTGGTTTTGGAGGGAGGCCTGAAGGGAAGGGGTGGGATTTTTTTGTTGGATACTTTCAAAAGCTATCTTTTATCCAAAGCGACTTACAATTGCTATGTATGTCAGAGGTTGCACATCTCTGGAGCAGCTAAGGGTTAGGCGTCTTGTTCAGGGACACATTGGTGGATGTGTTGCAGTGGGGAAATGAACCTGGGTCTCTCACACCAAAGACATGCGTCTTATCTGCTGTGCCATCACCGCCCGCGGTGCAAACTATGACATGAAAGTACTGTACATCAGGTGTAGCTGTAAAACTTGTAATAAAGATTATAATAAATAATTATATATAATAGATAAACATTCAAAAAGTTAGATAAAAAGAAAATTTTGAATGTCAACAAAATCAATATGGGATACTTATATATACAAAATGTGCAGAAAATGTGTACCACATGTTGTTTAACAGAAGTTACATTCAGATTACATAAAAGAAAATTCACCTGTAGATCACATGCATTTATATATGTATACTTTGCACTCTCATTTACACAGAGACTTTGTCTACACTGTTTAATCTATATGTGTGTTCTGTTGGATCATTACTGGTCCTGAAGCTGTTTGCTTATTTTGCTGAGGTCCAGGGTTTTCAGATCTGCAGCATGGCCTTTAGCCGTGGCAGTTAAAAAGCCATTGAGGGAATGAGGGGCTTGGCTGTCGGTACCGTGCCTGTTAATAAATGACCTCTTACTGGAATTAACAACTAACCTGGAGAGAGATGGAGGAGGGAGGAGTGGGGTGGGGGTGAAGACGAGGGAGGATGGAACAGAAAGACGGATGTGAGGAAGAGATGCCAAAATTTAAAATTGAGAAGACAGCTCTTCTAAGTGGACAGATTTTTGAAGCCTTTTGGCACAAAATGTATTCTGCAAACACATGCAGTTTGCCAGGCATCTGAGGCACACTCTGTGTGATTGCAGTTACTTTTGTAATTGTAAATGCATTTTATGGTTCAGAAATTGTTAGAAACAGATATGGTAGGTGATGATGATACATGACGTGATTGATTACTCATTCTGCTGGTTCACACATTTTCATGGGCCAGTTTTGTACGGAAATATTTTTTGACTGAAGCGCAGATTGCACAGCTGTATTAAAAAGAGAGGTTGCGATGGTGGGGGGAAAAAAACTACAACCATTGTATTGCACCTACTGAGGTCGATTTTGCTTGCAGAATACACTTGGAGATATAATCCTGGACACTGACTGCGTACTAAGCAACTGCCTTACAAAGTCAAGCACTAAATATATGCAGATTGCAAGCACAAATTTAATAAAAGCCACAGCACACATTTGCCTAGCATTTTCATGCTCAAATCTCCGACCTGCAGTCATTTTGATTTGTAAAACATGTCAAAATGTGTTGCGAGAAAATGCATGTTACAAATTTGATGAAAAAGGTGCCTGCCTTTTGTTTTCTCTCTTTGTCCTGGCTTATATCGGAGGGTTTGCACATGTAAATACAGTATACTTACTATTTTAATTGAGTAAAGCCACCTTTCTCAGGTTAAATACATTTTAGCTGTAATAGAGATATGTCATTAGTAACCAAACACACCTTTAACTATGTGTGAGTATGGACATTAGGAAATCTTTCTGAGCACAGAAAGTAACCAATCAAAATTCCTTTGGAATCTGATCCGTAAAGACAAATAAGGTGTCTGCAGTTAATTAATGTCACCTTTATATAAATGTCTTGATACTGAAGTTCAAAGAGTGCCGACACACTGAATTTCTAAGTGCAGCTTTACGGAAAGAAGCAAAAATGAATATTGTGGAAAATACGCATTTTTTATTATAAGTTGTTGTTTTGTGTGACTTACGGTCAAAGTCTGCCTATTTATCGTGCTCCTCCCCTCCGTTTCTCTCTCTCTGATTCTTCAGAGCATCCCTTCTCTACGCCCCCACATTTCCCCCCTCCCCAGGGTGTTGGACAGACCCTGCCATCCGCCCCCGCACAAGACTGTTGACTGACTATACACCAGAGCTTCACACTTACACACACACTATACATGCATTCAGTTCTTTCACAACCGTAGGTGTGTCTCTGAAGGGGGACGAGGCAGTAGTGGCAAGAGCCATATACAATAATTCCTGTTGTTTAACTTAGATTTTAAATGACGTGGTAACCTACAATATGTGGCTTATCACTTCTAACTCCTCTCAGTAGATGTTTATTCCGGTGTGAATCTCGAAGAGAAAACCTTTCAAGCTCACCTGGATTAAGCAAGGGATTTTGGTGTGGACACATTTGTCTTTGCTCATGAGACTCAATGTGCCACTGTGAAATGTCACAGTAGTTTAGGTGGTCTGTGCTGAAGCAGTTAGTTAGGCAATAATGTTACAGCTATAAATCGAACAACACAGGGTGTGACAAGCATTTATAAACAAATTTGATGATTTTGAAAGACAAGGCCTGTTAAACTGACATTGCTCGCTGTTTTCTCCCTTTTTCTTGCTTTTCTCTCTGCAGTATTTTGTCATCTGTGGGGTCTCAGCTTGACCTAAGGACACTACGAGCTGTCAGAGTGCTTCGACCTCTGAAACTGGTGTCTGGGATTCCCAGTAAGTGCTTCTGTGTGTTTTCTTTGTGTGAACAGTGCTTTGTGTGCTTTAACTACAGTAACTGCAGTCTTAGTCATACATTATAAATAGTGTCACTACTGCATATCACCTTTTGCTTTTTACATCTCAAACTGCCAGTGCATTTTCCCCTCAACCATGTGACAACATAGAACCAGGAGTAAGAGTAGCAAATGTTTTTTTGTTTTCAGATGTAAACTGGTCATTTAGGTTACAGTTAATTTTTCAACAATGTGAATGGCTGGAAACCTCAAATCAGCTCACAATGACCTGGCTGTGAATGCAGTCTCTTTAATTTTCAGATGCATTACATTAAGCGGATGCTTTTAACCAAAGCGACTTACAATTGCTAAGTATGTCAGAGGTTGCACACCTCTGGAGAAACTAGGGGTTTAGTGTCTTGCTCAAGGACAAATTGGGGGATGTCTCACACTGGTGAATTAAACCCGGGTCTCTCACACCAGAGGCATGTGTCTTAACCACTGCTCCACAACCACCACCACCCTTTACTGCAAGCGCCATCTCTATTTTTGTCCTCCAGGTCTGCAGGTGGTGCTCAAGTCCATTATGAAGGCTATGATCCCCCTGCTGCAAATTGGCCTACTGTTGTTTGTGGCCATCCTCATGTTTGCCATCATCGGCCTGGAGTTCTACATGGGAAAGTTCCACACTGCCTGCTACGACGAAGTCACAAGTAAGAAAAATGACAAAATGTACTATTGTTGCCAGCAGCCATAGTAAAATAAAGGGAAATTTAGTGTTTTTGAATTTTAAGGTGGCTCTGTCCATTTAGTCATGCCAGAGGCCATTTTCATGGAAGATATTTTGACATACACAGCAAGAAAAGCATAACATTAGCTGTAAATAATGATGGCTGAATTCCATTTATCTGCTTCAGTTTCAGGGTCTTTGTATTGTGGATGCTGGCTGTCACATTGGCATAACATTCTAGGATGCAGACCCATCATTAATGTTATTAGTAACATGTTTTCCTACTGCTATGTGTTAAAATGCCTGCTATGTAAGAGGCACACCGACGTGAAACCCAGCCATTATAAATGTTATTAATTACACCTGTTTTAATGAGTCAAAATGTCCACTATGAGGTCTGTTAACTTGTCTACACTACCAGCCTCTTGGATAGGTAACACATTATTGTTGAAAGTTTGCTTTCTGATCCAAAGTGAACTTGTGTTACTTAATAGTAAAGGTGGATATTTCTCTCTTTCTGTCTCTCTCTTTCATTAGGAGAGGTAGTGGAAGAATCGCCATGCGGCACAGAGGAGCCTTCCCGGTTGTGTGCTAACGGCACAGTGTGTAGTGGTGGTTGGATTGGACCCAACTACGGCATCACCCAGTTCGACAACATCCTGTTCGCCGTGCTCACCGTCTTCCAGTGCATCACCATGGAGGGATGGACAGACATGCTCTATTATGTAAGTCAGCCTGTCCAGTGAGCCTGTCTAGTTTAGTTTACAGTACAACATCAAGGAGTCTCAGGCCCTACCCATTATGTCCCTGAGCTACAATGTCCTATAATAAACAATAAAGTCACATGTAGTATTAACAGTAGACTCACAAATCACCATGAAAATCACTAGATTATTAATTATAACTAGGCTTATAATTCTTGTAAAGCACAGTCCTTACTGCTAGCGACAAATTAATGAGCAAGCTTCCCCTCAGCAGAATCTGTTGAGTATGATCAGAAATGTCACCTATGCTGAACAAACTTGTACCCACATATAGTATTGAACATGTATTTATTTTTATATCTTAAAAAGAAGAACAGACAGATGTTTTAGGAAGAAGCACTAGGCTTACCAGGTAGCCAAACGGAAAAAGGATTTAGGCTGTTCTCAGACTGACAAGCACAGTGTATTAAGAACTGCAAGGGTTTGTGTTGGTGAGGTATGGTTTGTTGGTACATGCACTGATGACATAAAATACAAGCAAAGTCTTGTTTGAATAAAATATCCACGAGTCTAAAGGCTTATCAGAAACAGATGCGTTAAATTTAGAAAGTTTTCACAGGGACATTTAATAAATTTCTTGTCTTGTCTTAATAATTGCAAGGTAAACAGTACAAGCAATAAAAAATAAATAGTGGTTAACTTTCTTCACTCTTCATGTTTCAACAAGTGTGTTCAGTTACATGTATTTAATTGACCAACATAGTTGAAAGCTCTTTCTGTCCTCTGTGATGTGTATTAGGTCTGTACAGTATGTTTTTTTAGCACACTGAAGGACTTGCGGGGGTGGGTGGGTGCAGAGGCTGGTGATTGGCTTGAATTTCATTCAGCTAAATGAGGCATAAAGTAGTTTGAGATTTGATTCAAAACACAATTTATTTGTCCAAAAGCCATTTTCATCCCTCTCTCTCTTTATCAGTCTGTATAACTTCCTTTATCTGTCTTCTCGTCTGTCCTTTTCTTGCCTTTGGAGTCGCTCTCCTTCTCTCTCTCTCCGCCTACTTTTCTTCCACTCTCTATTCTGGTCCGTCTCGCTCTATATTTAACATCTTTTCTGATGGATGGAGGCTGACTTCCACTCTCACACAGGCAGTCAGGAGGAAACCAATGAAAGTTTAATAGAGAACGGGCTGCTTGCACTGTACCATGCAGTATAAAATCTAACAAATGCACACAGCACTCCAGCAGCAGATAATAATCAGCTGATAGTTCCATTTGAGCATTACACAGGTCGCAGAAAGGCGATATTCTCCAGTATGCTGATTTCTCTGATTGTCAGCTGGATTTACACCTCACTGCAATCAATGTTTGTGAAAGCAGGAGATGCTGTGTCGTAAAGTCTCTGAATCCAGGTCAGACTTTAAGTTAGATCACTCCAGAGCCAGCATAATATACAGTACATACTTCAGCTCTCCTTGGTTCTTGTGCAGTACAGAGAAAGATCCTAAACGATAGCTGAGATAAAAATTCAAACCAAATCACATATACTATAGTCATGCATTTCAGAAATCAAAGTTAACAAAACAGAGGAAACACTATCTGCAACAGCTTAAAATTGACAGAATTTCCTAAGAGTTTTTGACCACTAGCAGCTCTATGGAGCAATGTTTGTAGGTGTGGGTCCCTGCTTCCCCTAGGACTCACATGCAGTTGGCCAAGAACGCGTACTGTTGATAGTTTCATGCTATTCCGCTCTGTGGGGGTAGTAACGTGCCAACAAACATTTTAATGCGCCAACAAATGCGGTGAAGAAGAAGACTGCTAGCAAACACACGTGGATGTAAATAAGGCACAATTTGAATTGGCTTTGCGAATGTTTTGTGAGAAAGGAAATGATTTCAAGATGTTTGTTAGAGCTCTGATACACTCCATGTGTTTTGGGGAGAAACACATAACTTTTGTTTCTTTATAAGAATGCGCACCTTTAACTTTTTTTTTGTTAAATTATTTGAGTAGTAAAGTGCATAGTACCAGGTGGTACAGGGATTATTTAAAACAATAAAATAATCGACCCTCACCAAGGCTGTATTGAACTGATAGAGGTAGTAGATAAAATTTAGGACATTCGCAATCGAGAATCCGTGCACAAAAGGAGCAATAAAAGTGAAAATTATTCTGACCTTTCAGGTCTTCATCAGTCTGAAGAAAAAAAACAAAAGACATACTGTATTGGAAATTTTTATATATTAGATGATCAGTAATAACACATTTGTCTGTGTCTCTGTGTTTGTGCCTGTTTTTTCTTTTGCAGAGTAATGATGTGGAGGGCAGTGCCTGGAACTGGATGTACTACATCCCCCTCATCATCATCGGCTCCTTCTTCATGCTCAACCTGGTGCTGGGTGTACTCTCAGGGTATGTCTTCTGTCTGTCTGTGGACAATTGCAGTCATCATTTCAACATAAAATTCCCTTTTTTTTTGCCTCTATGTTTTGTATATTTATGCTGTATTTTGAGTCTCATTTGATTGCAATGACCAAACTAATATAGACAAAATGACAAATGTGCCCACAGTGAATTTGCCAAAGAGAGAGAGCGAGTGGAGAACAGGAGTGAGTTCCTCAAGCTGAGGCGACAGCAGCAGATTGAGAGAGAGCTCAATGGATACCTGGAGTGGATCTGCAAAGCAGGTCAGTGCACACTGACAAATGCACTGAGTCACTTGTACACTGGTACACACTGCTTATTCCCATGTATAGACATACTTTATGTGAGAAACCAACAAGATCCTAATGCCGTGTGCTAACATCTTTCTTTATTATTTGCTTGGACAGAAGAGGTGATTTTGGCTGAGGACGATGGCACAGGGAACTTTGATGGTAACTGACCTTCTGTCTTCTTAATTGTGTGTGTGTGTACTGTACACTTTAAGTGAGACAGAGAAAAAGAGAAACGCTGACATTAGTGCAGTCAGCAAAAGACAGAGTATCAAGACAGAGCTACAAAGAGAATAGAGATAGCGAGAATGGTGCATTCACAGTGGCAGATTGTATCATGACAGCAGATTTGTAAAAACATACTTTGGTTCTAGAGGATAAATAAGGATACTAGACACTGTATGATGGAAAATCTGAAAACACTGTTCAAGCAGACAGGTTTGGTGCATGTTTTTAGCACAGTATTTAGCTAACAATGCTTAGCAACTTCAGAATTGCTCACGTAATTGTGCAAATGTGGTGTAAAATACACCTGCAAAGGCAAGAAGTAATGGAAGGGTAAGAGACTAACATTTGAGAAATAGACAGATGAAGAAACTATCCTCTTTTCTCATGCTAGGTTCGAGGCAAAGGCCAACCATCAAAACCAAAAACAACAAGACAGAGCTGCTGAACCCTGAGGAAGGAGAGGACAACATGGGAGATGCAGTAGGTAAGAAAATCAGAGGAATGGATAGGTGTATGAAAGGGATGAAGACGCACAAGGATTACAACCTTATTCAAAGCATACTCAGACCAGTAATTTCACGGTGGTGGTGGTGGTGGGGGGCGGGGTGTAAAACTATTATGTCACGTTAATGACAAGCCTTATATCATTTAAAGTGTTGGTGGTGGTGTTGGGTGCAAAAAAATTATTCTATCAACTCTAGACTGTCGTGTCTCCCTCCCTCCCTCCCCCCAGGTTTTGCCCGCTCCAGTATAAAGAGCGGTAAAGAGGGCTCCAATTACAGTAAGAGGGAGCGACGACTGCGATTCTTCATCCGCAAGATAGTAAAGACACAGGCTTTCTATTGGACGGTGCTCTGCCTGGTGGGCCTCAACACCATGTGTGTGGCTGCGGTACATTACGACCAGCCTGAGCTGCTCTCTGATTTCCTCTGTGAGTAAAAACACACATGCAACACTGAATATATACAGGTACACATCCACACATACTGTGCAATGCGTGAACAAACCTGTGTGCAGACGACATACAATCAACTACAGGAACGTTTCCAGTTTAGGTTTCTAAGTTTAAGTTCCTTACTCCCAAAATGTTGCTTACTAGGTAAGCACAACACTAGATAGATAGATAGATAGATAGATAGATAGATAGATAGATAGATAGATAGATAGATAGATAGATAGATAGATAGATAGATAGATACTGGAACATTTATTTTTAAATAGAAAAATATTGAGCAAATTTTTCAAACACACACATCAGTCTCTATGAATCATTTTTTCCATCTCTCATTTACTTCTGTTGAAGCCAGTGCGACTGACAAATTCAAGAACGCATTTCCTGTTTTTCTGGAGCTCTAACAGACGCACGGGTCGAAGTTTGCCTTTGCTCAACTGTCACTCACTCAGTCAAGATAACTTGAAGGCAAATATGGCTGTACCTTTACGTTACTAAATTCAGCGCTATAGCCGCAATATTATACAGTTGACTCTAAAAACGCTTTTCTGTTTAATCATCACTGCTGCCGACACGCACCTCGTCCCCACCTGAATCATCATTTTACTCTTCAAAATTTCCTCCTACACAAGCAAACAACAGATTTATGTTTTAACCTCTCAAATAAAACATTTTGATCTTTCTCTGCTAAAAAATATCCATCTTTCTTTCGGTTTCAGTCATAATTACTCAGTTATCCTAGATAGGCAAAATAAACAGTTTTTTTGTTGGTAGTGGCAGCTTGACAATAGGATTACTGAAAAGAAATACAGGTCTTAAGTATGAGACATAAATACTGAACCTTATTTGCTGTTGTTTTTGATTGTACTGTACATAAAATTCAGCATGAGCTTTATAGCAGAAAATTGTTTAAAGGAGACCTATTAAAAATTTGTCGACGTGAAATTTTATCGTGGACGCATCGTTACATAGATGTCGTTTAAGGGAGAGATAGCAATCTTCATATTAGGAACATTTCTGGTTGTTTATTTCGAACTGCAATGCACTGCAGGAAGTGCTGGAGGCAGCGTCGCTTCCACTGTCTGCCATGACTGCTTGACTGTAAAACTACTCACGAAGAAGAAGCATTCGTGCAAGAAGTGGAATGTAAAGGAGAAAGATGCGAACAGCAGAACGGCTTTTGTTTTTACAAATTTAATCACTAAATACACTTTTGAGCGGTTTTGAGGCGAGAAATCAACTGTGTAGAATTTGATTATTGACAGTTTTACCAAAGTTGATCGAAAATGTGCTCAAACATTTTCGGGGCTGAGAAGCTCCACAAGCGCCCGCGAGGTTAGCGGTGCCAGTCGGCCCCACAGGGCCCAGTTACTCCGACCACTGCAGCAGAGACAGAGGAAAAGCAGTCTGTCCTATACGTTCAGTTATTTTTGGCGGCCCGCAACAATATCAACGCTGACCGCCACATACTGATTATTTTTTATTTTTTTATTTGACTAGGCCTATTTAAAATGTTATTTGATTGCAGATCAGCACCGTGGCGCATTCACGCAGCACATCCTCTCGCTCGTCTCGCTCCCCCTCATGAACACCGCAGCACAAATCTGTCCAACACAATGCTGCCAATGTCGGAGACCCAGCTTTAAAAAAGTTATTAGTAATGAGTAATGGTTTAAAGTACATTAAGGAACATCTGGCTCGTGATGTTGCCTACAGCAACATTCTCCACTGAGTTACTGCCGAAAACCACTTTTGAAAAATAAACTGCAGAAGTAGTTTGAAAGGGGACTGTTGCTTTATTGTTCTAAATAGACATTACATTCTTAGTGCACAGTTGTGGTTATAGTACTTGTTTTTAATTTGCTTTTATTTTATATAGTTCCAAAGCAAAAGTCTTTGTTAAAAACGTAAAAGTTAGTTAGTATAAATCAGTGAATTATAGGAGTAGCCTACGCTGTCTTGACTTCTTCCCTGGTCTCCCTCTGGCGTTGATGCTGGTGTTCACTCTGAATAGTAAACCTCGTTCACTTAATGGTAACGTTAGCTAGTTAGGTTATGTGTTGGAGATCAGTAATTCACTTGAAACATATTTAAGTAGTTTAATGGTTTAATTAGGGTTAGGGTGTAACAAAAATAATCGCGACTAGATAGATAGAAATAAACAGATTAGTTGCAGCCCTACTGGTAACATGCTTCAGGTCTTGCCCAATCAGAAGACAGTAGGCTTTGAGAGGGGGGGCTAAAAGAGATCTAAGAAAGCATCTACAGCTTGTTTGAGACAAAGGCTGAAATGAAGCCCTACATCAGGGGTCGGTAAATAAGTCTGGCATCGGGCCAGATTTTTTTCAAGTCATTAGATGGCTGGCCAGAACATAGTCAATTTATCAGGGCCGGCCCTGACAGTGTTGGAGCCCTAGGCAAGATTTGAAATTCAGCAGGATTTCTGCTCATGTCCAAAACTTTCTGCACATTCAGAATCTCGCACACATATCTCTGTTCTCTGACATGTTCGCAATATTAAGAGACTAACATCATCACCTAATGAACATTCACAATATTTTTTAGTCTACTTGCCTGTTCTCTGTTATTTCTCTGCTGGTAGTTAGCTATCCCCTTTAGACCGTTTGACCGACCCAGTTTGGGACTGCATGCTGCATGTGAAACCAAAACCAAAACCAAAACAAAACACTACTGATCAGGCAGAAATCTGTCCATAAATCCTCACACACACATTGACTTCAGCAGCTCTAATAAAGTGCAGCTTACAGTCCCAAACAGAGCAAGGTTATGTCTAAGTTTTCTGATGTTTATATTGCAAAACTCTACCAGTTATGTAACCACTCGTCACAACTGTCTGGACTCGCGACGTGCACTTAATTACTATCACGGTGTTACATCAACTGGGCTGAGTTGATTCGCTCTGAACTTTGATTATTTCATTATTTTTCTCCTTTTTCAACACATTGATTATGACGAGATCATTTTACATGTTCACAATTAAGCATGTGCAGGAGTGTGTGCATCCTGGCGATTGGTCCACATCAATCTCTGGACGCTTTTCATTTCCCCAGTATCTCCAAGCTGAGGAAGTTCCTGCGTTTCTCATTCACGGGAATCCAAACTATTTTTCTGATGGATTTTTCAGAGGTTTGTCAAGCAAGCCAGAGACTCTTTTGAATTTCTTTCAGAACTTTTCAAAGTAAAAGCTCTCAATTAAACACAACATAAACTACTGTTGCAAAGATGTTCTTGTGTTACAATCCCTTAAGAGGAAGTGATTATGTGAGTAACTTTTGCTGTCATGACTGAGATCTGTTTCAGCACCAGCCGCTGTTAAAGTAATCTGGCCACGGGCTAAATATTATTGCTGTCGGGCCAGCTTTGGCCCTCAGGCCGCCTATTGCTGACCACTACTTGAAGGGCCAGTATAAGATAGAAAATAATTTTTTTGAACTTTGAAGCTTGCCATACAGGAGTCACAGAACTACAATATAGGACTGGAAACGCATTATAACAGGTTTCCTTTAATATTTCGAAGATTTGTAGTAGCTACTTGTATCAATGATATATAGTATATTTACATTCTGCTTGTTAAGTTAAAGTAGATCTACATTATTTCATGACCACACACACACACACACACTCAGCCACACACACAAGGACACACAGGACCCTCAGTGGAGTCAGCTCGTTGTCTCTGGCCGATGTCCAGTGTCATTAGCATATGAAGCTGTAGCTGCTGATGGAGTCCATTCATCACCAGACTGTCATACACTGCTGGGATCGCACAATTATCGACATCCACTCATCTAACTCTTTCTCTCTCACTCTCTTTCGCTTCTTTCTCTTTTGCTTCCCCTCACTTTCTCTGTCTTTTTTTCTGGCTTTCCCACCTCTTGTTTTCCTCCCTTCTTTTTTTGATCCACTCTTTATCTCTCTATGTCCTCACCATCCTCATTCTTCCTCCTCCCATCCCTCCTTTCCCTCTTTCTTTCTTTTTCCTCCCTCCAGTCTATGCAGAGTTTATCTTCCTCGGTTTGTTCATGTCTGAGATGCTGATCAAGATGTATGGCCTGGGCATCCAGCCCTACTTCCACTCCTCATTCAACTGCTTCGACTGTGTGGTGAGTGCACATGCGCGTTCGCGTGCGCGCTAACACACACACGCACACACACACACACACACACACTTACACACACTTTAACTGAGTGAAAAAACTAATTTCACTATTAACTGTCAGGCTTTGATGACAAATCCAGCACTCCATTTAATCAACAGATCTTAGAAATACATTTCTCTCATGAAGCCCTGCAACAAATGAACAATGAGCAGATTCAGTATCATGTTTGTCACCAGTACATGTGCAATATTGTGCGTTAATTCATGCCGACAATGTTGCAGAGGCTTATGGACAGGTTACTTCATATTATATGCTGTACATTGCAAGGTGACATCATGTAATACTGTGTTCATTCAGATGGCAGTGGATGATTAGAGACTCTAATTGTATTTGTATAGCGGTCTCAGATTGAAAGCGTTTTTTATTGTTTGTTTTTGGATTGACTTATTCGATATTCGTCAAAAATTAAGCTCCATGATGATTTCAAAGCTTAAATTAACTCAGAGATGATGGACATTCTTAGGCATGAGTTGTTCCTGTCAAAGTTTTGGAGAACTGGCTGTTTAAAGTGCCTGTGAATAGAGTTGGATTCAGATAGCTGAGTCTTTTTACAAGTTGGTAATATATGGAGTTTGTTCGCTTGTAGTCTAATAAACCATTTATAAAATATTTCATATTTCTCTCATTTTTTGTTTCTGAAGAGACCTGTGCAGAATATTTGATGATTGAGCTAATATGTAGCCTATATTCAGTTTTAGCTCTTTGATGTCTCATAGTTTTAGTTATTCATTAAGTTTGTAGTTAAAATTTTTTCAAAACTAAACTAAACTTGTAAGTCCCATTGACTGATGTGGATATATTGGGTGAGAGATAAATCGTTAAAACTGCTAGCTGCGTGTGAATGTGCATAAAAAGTAATAGGCAAAAATAATGTCAGATTTTAATTTGTCATTTAAAATAGCGATGTATTCTTGCAATGTCAAGAACACATGGTTTCACAAGCACCGCAGAAACGAGTCTGCCCTTTGCCGTTTTTTTATAATGAATAAGTAAAGAACTGCATTTATCTGTGTTCCATTTTAAAATGTGTTGCATTTGTGTGGATGTGCAGGTAATTGTGGGCAGTATCTTTGAGGTGGTATGGGCCACCATCAAACCAGGCACATCCTTTGGAATCAGTGTGTTACGAGCTCTGCGACTACTCCGCATCTTCAAAGTCACCAAGTATGTCTCTCTCTCTCTCTCTATCTCACTAAATTGTGGCATTTAATTTGAAAGTCTTTTCACTGTTGTAACATCTAAATAGTTCTTGGATTTTTGGCACTTTGACACTTCTTTCCGGTCCCTTCAGGGGAAATGTTAATTGGATATGGCTCAAGAACATTGTCCTGTTTTTTTTATGTGAAACTTTCCTTCTCAATACAGCGCTGCTTATTTGGACAAATCTCACTTGAAATTGAGTCTTTTACCCTCAGTGGAGTTACTTGGTGAACTCAGATGAAACTATATTTTGGGGTGAATGCAACCAGGGTTTAAAAAGTCAATTAGTCAGCATTATTGTTACTGTCTTTTAATTAGAGCTCTGACGCTTTGCCTTGACCCCAGTTGGACTTGACCAGGTTCTGCTCTATGTTAAATTGATGTGGGTTTGAGAAAGAAGTTTTGGGGCTGATCAGAACTCTACAGTACTAGAAATAACAATGAACTGTGTTGAAAATCTGAAATAATGAAAAAAGTGAGTACTAAAAGGAAAAAAACAGAAAGATTAGTTAGTATTTCAATGTATTGGACCTTATTAAAAAAAAATCTAAATGATTTGCATATTGTTGCTGTTTGTTATTGCCAGACAAGTGTGAAAATTAAAATACTGCCTAATGATTATTGCAAGAAGAAATGTGACAATATATCCACAGATAAATAGTTGAGGGTTTAAATCCTAATTTTCTTTTTTTCCCCCTTAATGCTATTTTTCTTTTACCTTCCCGTCCTCTACCACTGCCCTCTTCTCTTTATTTTTTTACTTTTCTCCCTGTTTCTCTTCTTTGTGTGTCCTTAATCTCTGTCTTCCTTCTTACCTACTTTTATCCTTGCTTCATTTATCTTCCTCCCCCTCTTCCTCAGGTACTGGGCTCCTCTTCGAAACCTGGTGGTTTCTCTGCTAAACTCCATGAAGTCCATCGTCAGTTTGCTCTTCCTCCTCTTCCTTTTCATTGTGGTCTTTGCCTTGTTGGGGATGCAGCTGTTTGGAGGACAGTCAGTATCAACACAAACAAGCTTGCTTCTCTGTATTAACTTTATATTTCTGTCTTACTTTGTGTATGACTGTCATGGTTTTTCACTACTTTATTTTCTTTTTCTCAGATTCAACTTTGAAGCCGGAACACCACCTACTAACTTTGACACTTTTGCAGCAGCAATCATGACGGTGTTTCAGGTAAGAAAGAGAGATGTTTTTATGCTTCTGTATAAAAAGAAATTAATTATTGATATGATGTGGCCCATATTGAGCTTTTTTGTAGGCATCATTAATTAGCTAATCATGTTCACTCACAATGGTAAAGGTTCTTCTTGAGCACAGATTCATTCTTTCATAAAAATCTGTAAAACCGGCTATGACATTCTTTCACATATATAGATTTATTCAAAAGCAGGACAGAGTTCAGTTTAATAAACTCTGAGCTTTCCCTTTGCTGAAATTGTACTTTTTAAAAATGTTTTATGTGAATTAAACTTGAATTTATTCAGCTATATGGTTGAAAATTTTGTCCTTTTGCAAATTACCCGTAGGTGCCATTGAGTTACTGCATTTTCCAAACATGACTCACACTTAAACGCACTCATGTGCATTTTCAGGATGGCTGAAACCCTTTTCGAGAGAGAAATTTTGTGACGCCCATTGTTGCCATGTCATCAGTTTGTCAGATGACTTGTTCAGTCCTGACTGCAGTCTCCATGTTTCTGTGTTCTCTTTGCTTATTTAGAGAGACAGCTTTGTGAAGAGCCATTTGTTATTTTATTGTCTCTGAGTGACTCAGAGCCCAGCTCAGTGTGTGTGTGTGTGTGTGTGCGTGTGTGTGTGTGTGTGCAAACGTTGATGCTCATGCACCAGTGTGTGAGAAGTATCTTTAGGTTTGGGGAATTAAAATCAGAAATAAAAATTGTGCCTCCTTATTACCCCCATCTGTTAAATTCAGTAAATTTCTTCTCAAATGAGTTTAGATAAATTTTTTTCAATATTATTTTCACATGAATGGTTAAGGTAGGAAGTAACACATCTTCACTTGCAGCAGGCAATATGATGAAGGTACATTTCTTTCCAATATTATTTCTAAATCTCACATCAATATAATTTAGAAAAATGAAAATAAAAGTTTTAATGGATTTAATTTATGTTCAGGGCTGTGTAGTTTTTCAATTAAATCACTTATCAATAAATCATTTCTTTTACACCATTTGTCAACAGGCTGTAGCTTTACAGAGAAACGTACACACCTGTTTTCTCTATTGTTGCAACAGCCACTATTCTGCTTCTTATGTGAAGGAATCGGGTCATGTTCTCTGCATGCGCGCTCCCGAGCCTCTTGCCTACTACAGCAACAACACTGCAGTTAACAAAATGGAGTCCAGTAACTGGCTCCCAGCACAACACAGACTCTACATAAGGATAAAAAAAATGGCACAGGACAACAACACAGTGGAAGACCCCTTCACTACAGTAATGTTACTTACTTAAAAAACTTTTACAAAGTGTGGCAACGATCTCATTTAAATTTCAGTCTAGCTCATTAAGCATTTTTGTTACCATCCAAGTCATTTAGCTATGCTGACATTACTGAGCCTTAAGTGAAATGTACAAAAAATAACGTTAAAACATCTTCAGATCGTCAATGTAACGTTATCATGTAACAAGAATGGATTGTTTGACCTCAAGCTGATAAAAATATTACTGTAATGTTACAGTTGCACCTGAGTTTCCAGCATGTTGTGTGCAGCTGTCCCCCAGTGAGTCTGTCAGATTTTGCTCACTTATGAGTTCGAGCACGAGTACGAGCATACATCTAAAAATCGCACTACCAGTGGCCCCTGAAAACTACATATAGCCCCTTTAAGTTGTCTGAACTTAAGCATAGTTTTTCAACTGTCCTCAGAATATATTTGTTTTTGTCGAGGTGAAAAGATAATCAATGCAATAATGTAATCAATTCTGGATTTAAATGTTTTTAATGAGCCCTAAATACATCAAACCAGTAAGATTTACTCCATGACAACCTTCTTAGTAAGACAATCTCTTTCACCATTTCTCTCTCTGTAGATCTTGACAGGAGAGGACTGGAACATGGTGATGTACGATGGCATTGAGTCCCAGGGAGGAGTAAATGACAAAGGAATGATCTTCTCCATTTTCTTCATTGTCCTCACACTCTTTGGCAACTGTATCCTGCCTGCACACTCACATATACATACAGTATACACAAATGTACGATAATATGTACATTTACAAGCAAAAATACACAGACAGATATTAAGACTGCGACCATGACAATGATGATGAAATGTTGATGTCAACTTGTGTCTTCCTTTTCCTGTCCATTTGAGCTCCTTAAATTTAAGAAAAACAAGTCCACTTCCTGTCATTCCTCAGACTTCCCTATGTCTGCTACCCAACTTCTCTCTTTTCCTCTCGACTTTGTTCTTCCTGAGAAACTGAGCTTTCTCTGTGGTTGTCCTTGGATCAGCATTTCTCCTTAACGTCTGCCACCACAGACACTCTGCTTAATGTCTTCTTGGCCATTGCTGTGGACAATCTGGCCAATGCCCAGGAGCTCACCAAGGTACAGGATCAAATCAGAAAAAACACATTATCCCCCTTATTTTAAGAAAAATAAGTAGAAAGTAAATATTTTGTTACTCGTGAAAGATATCTGGATTAATGGACACTGGATTAATCTGGAATTTAAATTTTGATTTGATTTAAAAACTACACAACAGACGTGATACAACTTGGCTTTTGTTCTATGGTTGCTGTTTTTGTACTTTTTATTATTATTTTATGTGGCAGTGCCATTTAAACTCAAATCAAGTGACCAATATGATTATTTGCTTCTCCAAAAGGACGAGGAGGAACAGGAGGAAGCAGCCAATCAGAAGACAGCAATGCAGAAAGCTAAGGAAGTGGCAGAAGTCAGCCCGCTGTCAGCAGCCAACCTGTCTATTGCTGCGTGAGTACACACACATTCACATACGCGTCTAAAACATAAATACATACAAAATATATACACATTTATACACTTTGCATACACATACTGTACAAAATTACCCTCATAGACACATGCCCACACTGATATACAAAATAGTCTTGCACACACACAGTTCTGGACAAAAGTGTCTCTCACTCACTCTTTTTGCTTTTTGTAAAATAGTGCACACACAGAAATCACTGTTTCTTTCTCAAATCTGTCTTTCCTAACATTTCTGATTGGCAGGCATTCACATACACGTGATGCACACATTCACACACACAAACACCCACCATCACACTCTCTCCATTCTCATCCTCTAAAACATGATTAAGCGATTGTTCTGAGAGTGAAAGGAACAGATTCGGGGCTTTGTGAAGTGAAGACGAGCGAGAGGCGGACAGTCTGTAAAATCTGGTCCTGGCAACAGAAACGCTGACAATAGGACACATCAAAATGATGCTCACAAAAACCCTGCTGCTCTTTAGAAGTCACCGGACTCTTTACTCTTTCACAGCCTTTGATGGCTAGATTAGGTGGTTTTATGCTACATTTATGAATGTTAATTAGACACTAACTTGTCAGTTATTTACTGTAACAGGGGCGTGGATGATTTCTAGTTATGGAATTAAAAGCTCATAAGCGTCCTTTCAATCACAGAACAGTATGTTTTCACATGTGTTTTGTATAAAAAGAAAAGACTGGGTCGTTAACATGAGCAGCAGTAGGCATCATGGCAATCAGCATTAACCAGTTGATTCAAATGTTTTGTGATTTTCAAAGCCTTTCAGATGAACAGCTCTGGTATAGTAACACAACATGGTGACACTCCTTTGCTTTGTTTTTGGTCACACACTCACAAACTCTACTGTCGAGAGATTGAGACAGGGTGGTTTTGGGACTAATGAAAGATCTGTTAAGATTTCTCATTCTCACATTGTTTTTTGAACTCAACATCTTCTAAAACATTCTGAGACATTGTATGTCTTCTTTGCTTCTTGACAAACTCTGTCCCCAGTCTGCGTTAAAGATGTCAAAAGACGCTTTCCACTTGCTTCCATTCTTTCTGATTTTACTTCCTCCATGGCAGCAAAACATAATGCACGAGCCAATAGAAAACTCCTTGGGTTAAACTGGGTTTACTGGACACTTTTAGGGCTGACTTAATCTAGCAGATGCCTTGAAGATGGACAGATAGGAACCACGGATGTATTATAAGAACTGGATACAAGACTCCAGCATGGCCTCTGTTGGCCTCCAATCATTTGAATGAAAATTGCTCACCCAGTGCATAAGTCAAAAAAGTTTTCTGGCATCCTGGTTTGCTTCCATGTTGTGCAGCTCATTAGTGTTTCTCTCCCTGGCACTTCATATTGGGAATGACCTCCCACATGTAATATAGCTTGTCTAGGCGCTGAGAAAATATTACAAATTTGAAACGTTTTTGGTTGCAGAATTCATTATACAAAGAGAAATAATTGACCTTGTTTGCAGTTGGAGGCATCCTATCAACCATTTTACAGACATCTCTTTCGTAATGGTAGTTTATGGCGAAAATCCTTTTTTGCCACAGGGGATTTTTTTTGATGCAGTTGGCTACTGGGACAAATTGGCAGCAGAGCTGAGTGGCAGAGCTTTATCCAACTCTTTTAATACATCCATGATAGAAACTGATTAGGCTAGCAGCATAAAGGACACTAACAACCCAAAATGCAACACTCTCTTAAAGTGACAGGTTCAATTCATAACACAAGAGCTGGAACTGCTACATTCAAAGAGAGACGTTATTATGTAAAATGAATAGTCATTAAATATATTGCACTTTTGAAAATTTCTGGGGGAAAAAACTCACAAACACTCCCTTAAGTAGAAGACAGTGTAATTTATATTCAATGTGAAAACACTGCTAGTGAGACTGGAGCTCTATGGAAGTCATTGTTCAATTTCTCACACAGTTCAAGGTGTTTTCATTCTGCTTTTCTGTGTCTCAGCCATGTTTTGCTGCGTTGATATTGTCCACAGCTCGTGCTTCCTTCATTCACACATTCAACTTACTGTTACATGCTGCCACATTGAAATTGCAGTGTACTTTTGCTTTATTCGTTTTTGTACTGAAGAAAGTTCTTTCCGTTATAATGGTATACTGTTACTTCTTCATGTTGCTGCTAATTTCTTACAGGGATCTTAGGGGTGCATCCTAGAATCTCTAATTCTTTCTCCCTCTATCTATCTGCCATTTTCCTGTCTTCCTCACCCTCTCTTTGCCATCACCATCTACCCCTTTCCTCCTCCCTCAACCTCTCCCCTTCATCTGTATTCCTCTTCTCTTTTCTCCACTTTTCAAAACCTCCTTACTCTCCTTCCCTCCATTATATCCCTCTTCACCAACACCTCCCAACAGTAAGGAGCAGCAAAAGAACCACATCAAGGGCAACAAGTCAGTATGGGAGCAGAGAACAAGCGAGATCCGCCGACAGAACCTGATGACGAGCCGTGAGGCGCTCTACAATGAGCTGGAGCAGGAGGACTGGAAGGTGGGAGGGGAGGGAGAGGAGGTGAGGATCCCCCCCGAAAAAAGACACACATATACACATATATATGCAGTCTACTCCTGATATATATGGTGAATATTTGTTGCAATGTGTGTAGTGTGTGTAACCACTTAAAGAGACATTATCACCCATGTTTAGTTGGGGCTGTAGACATGAGACCCACGTCACTTAAAATAATTTCACTAACTTTCTCACCGAACAAACAACTCTTGGATGTCAATTGAAAATATTTTCAATTAAAAAGTGGAAGTTACCAGATGCACATTTGATAATGTAAGTAAATATTCTGAGTTCTTGCCACTTGTATCCGGTGACCTAAGCACATGGTCCAGAAAGTATATGTCCCCAATAAACTATTTTCCAACATTTTAAGAACAAATTAGACACGTGTTTGTCAGTTGTTCCCCAAGAGTTGGATTACTGCAAAGTTGCGAAGATTTTCCTAAAGTTTAGAAGTTGATGGGTTACGAAAATCCTGAAATTAATTTCATCCTTGTTCCACTGTAAATGAAGTAAGATAGTCTTGGTCTGAGATCCAACATCTATTTAAGATTTTAACTTGATCCTGATTAGTGGTATTGACAATGACAGGCATTTTTCCTGACCTCCAACTTCTAACATCGGTATGTCGGTGCACTGTGACGTTACCATTGTGTGTGGATACAGGTGCAACAGAGCACACTTCTGACCACACCCAACCACAACCATGAGCGATTCTGAGGCTTCTGGGAAAGTTTCAACTAAGTCGGGTAGTTAAACACTGCTTTTCAGCCTTAAATTACATTCCATTTCAGCCCATCTGTATGTGACGTGTAGTGAGCTACAGTGGAAACACTGGAGTAACACAGTGGCCTGATCAGTTCAGATTGCTGTGTTTTCATGCTTCAGTTCCCTTTTGTTATGTTTTGATTCCAGGGTGTAATGTCCCTTTAAGCCTGTGAAAGAGTGTTATTATTGTGCTATCCGCTGCTATATGGGACGGCTTGAAGCTGCGTGCTTGGGAGCAATGCATTATTAAAGTGGGGCATGCAGAGAAATCCAGAGCTGTACCCAAAGAAGGCACTGCCCCACTCAAATGTGGAGAGGGGCGAAGTGCAACTCACTTCAAAAAGAATTCAAAAAGAAGATGATCAGGAGTCGACTGGATATGGCTCGGCAAACTGTATATTTATAGCTGGAGCTGTTTCCCATTTTGTGGCTCTAGAAAGATTCATGACAATTTTGATATCAAATTGTTCAAGTGGAGCCTAAAATGGTGGACTATTTGCCGAACTGTGTATATCTGTGGCTCGGGAGGGAATAAGGTGGGGGCAGTGCAAGTGTTGCCAATGGGTTTATTCTTGGTAAACTGAGATGTAAATAAGGAATAAACTGCTCGAAATATGGTCACAGTTGGCCTATACTCTGATCTTTGCCCCAGCTTTGAAGTAAACTATTTCTGGAAATACAGAAACCATGTAAATGCAACTGTGATATGAGTTTGGTAAGCTGCTGGAAATCATTACATTTCAGCTATACAGACGCAAATATACACGGAATTCAATAAGGAAATAAGAATTATTCCCTTTGTTGTTGTAGATACATGTTTTTTTTTGCCCAAAATTGGCAAAATGCATTTCTTTTTTTGTCATTCAGTAGTATAAACAAATGTAATTGTTGTATACTTTAAGCCGTTAAGACCTATGGCACCCTCTATAAAAGCAGGCATTGTTTCAAAACATTGTTTCAAAACCTTAATCTTTCTCTTAAGATTTTCTTAAAAACTTGACAGAATTGTCAGTGTTCACTAAAACCTTTATTTCTCTGCCTCTGAGAGCTTACACTTTTGCATTACAAAAGATTGCATTTGCCCTGGTGTTCATTCATATTTTTCATAAAGCAGGAGAATATGTCATTTTGTGATTTTCTGTGGGATCCTTTACAATGTATCTGAAGTTTTAGCAGCACCCACTCATCCCATCTGCTACACTATTACCCCGACCTAGGTGTCCTACCCACGGAAAGGACGTGGTGATATGAAGACCCACCTGGACCGGCCGTTGGTGGTCAACCCGCAGGACAACCGCAACAACAACACCAACAAGACCCAACCTGGTGAACTGCCTCTGGACCAGGAGTACCGGCGTCAGGACATCAACCACCACCGCCGAGCTGCCCACTATTATCATCACCATCACCACCATCAGAAAGTCGTTGGGCCGGACAGTGGAGACACAGGCCAGCCGGCGGAGACCCGCCTGGAACGTGGCTTCAGCTACACATCTCTGGGCAATGTGGAGGGCCAGCAAGGAGAGGAGAGGCACAGCCACAGGAGCCACCGGGGCCACCGGCACAAGAACAGGGAAGGCAGGGAGGCTCGCAGCTTGTCTCCCCACCAGAGTGAGGGGAGAGAGGGGAACAACGAACATAGAAGGTCCAGGCAGCACCGCAGGGCAGCAAGGGAGGGCGAAGAAGGCAGGAGACACAGATCTAGGGGGACGGAGGGAGAGGGTGACAACGGCGAGGAAGGGGAGGGACGGAAGGCGAGACGGCATCACCACGGCAACCAAGAGAGGAGCAGAGGGCATCGTACCAGAAAGTGAGTGAATAAAGGGTTTATTTTTTCCCTGTGTGTATCTCAAATTACAAAGGCATAAAAGTTAAGTTTGTCTTTGTCTAAGAAATCAGGAAGCGACCTGACACTTTTGAACAGGTGAAGGACTCATGTTGTGATGTGAAGCCTGGCTGCTCATCACAAATTGGTTGCATTTAAATTTCTTTCATGGTTGGTGATGCTTACATCTGAGGGAATGAATGATTTTAGCATTTTATGTATATTAAATAAATAAATGTTTTCTAGCTTTAAGTGACTGTGTGATGAATTTTTGTTGTTTTATTTTCTGGTTTGCTTTCATTTAGAAGTTTCTGTGTTAGAGCTGTGGCATCTTTAGAGGAAGGAAGGGCCTGTGACGGACTCGCAGGATAAGGAATGTCAAAATTATGGCGTCCAAAGTCACACTAAGCACATTTTAGCAAGACTTACCAGCCTCACCAGGGTGAGGTGACAAATGTGCACAGTCACTTCTTTAAATTTAACACTATGTGAACTACCATTACACAACATATAACAGACAGCTATTCCCTCCAACTGCCCCATGACAGTAAAATAAGGCCATGAATTTTGTCAGGTGAAAGATGTCAAGCATATTTTAATCTCCCCAGTTTGTGGCAGGCTCTGTTTGTGTTGGTACAGTGGAGACAGTGCACATCTTGTGACATATAGTGCTACCTCTAGTGTTTTTGATAAGATGCTCCTTTTTTCACCCAATCATTTTGATTCTTATCCTTACCACCCCCCCCACCCCCCCCCCCTTTATTAGGGAACACCACAGCACCTGTCCCAGCCTCTCCACCACACGACCCATACAGCAATACAACGAGGACCTGGACAACTTCCGCAACAACAGCAAGCTGGCCAGTGCCCATGAGCATCCTTATGCCCTCCCACCGGATCACCTCGATCATCCTGACCACGTCAACAACCTGCTGAACTGCCGTGATGCCGGCTCCCATACTTTGCTCCACAGCATGGACAGCCTGATCCTAACTAGCATGGCCAAACCTGAATACACAAAGATAGACATGCCACCCGTCTACCCCTACCCATCCACCAATGCCATCCTGCAAGGTGAGCATTTGGGGGTATTAGTCATGTGTAAACAAGGGTATAAGTAGATATATAGATTCTGAAGGTGCGTCACACAGCCCCTGACATTTGAAAGTAGAGAACTGGCTGAACACAAAAAATCACTTGAATTTCTCTCTGGATCTGCGTCATTTTTGACAAACGTGCAGCTATTTGAGATTAAGTCCCTGTCCTAATACCTTGGCCCTACCACTCAGTCCTACCCATGTGTTTCTGTTGTATCCGACAGTACATTTCTACATACAGTTCAGTGGCTCATTAAATCCAGGTTTGTGGGGTTTGGGTCATGTAGAACTACATATTGCCTTTGAAATAGAGCATTTCCAATTTCTTCCTGAAAAACTAGTGATGATGGGGGGAAAAAAATGTGTGTGGCTGAAGAAGATATATAAATATTGTAATTGTAATTTGGCAAAAGTCTGATATATATTGTCCATTGTCCAACACGAAAAAGAGTGGCATCTTGATTCTTGTAGATGTGCTATTTTAGTAAAAATAATGGTAAAATGAGCCTACTTCTAACCTGATGTATTACCTTAGTAAACACTGTTATAATGAGTTTTTGCTCTCAATCGTTAGTTTAAAGTCTTCTTCAACACAGCATGATGTTCATTTAGTAAACAAATTAGAGAAAAATAGACCATAAATCAGGGGATGCTACAGACTACCTTGTCATTGACAGTTCGCTACCATGGCAGCCTCAATCAGGTTAGAGTGACCACCTTCTTAGCCAAATATGGTCATGTCCGGTGCCTGGTTGCAAAAATCAACATGGCAGCAGCCAAACTGCCAGAGTTGAGGCTTCAAAACGGTAGTCCACAAACCAATGGGTGACATCACAATGACTATGTCCACTTCTTTTATGTGATAAAACCCCACACTTATTAATGAAATAAATCACCAAAAATATAAAATTCTAATCTACAGCACAAATTGAACTGCAGGCTTTACAGTTCAGTACAGTTGTCTCGATTAATGCTCTCTGTAGTATTTGACAACTCATTCATCTTAAAAAAATACTTAAGCAATTTAGTTTTGCACTTCCATAAAGTTAGAGGACACTTCAATAGACAGATGATACATTTTGATGCAGAAGAGTCCAATATATCCTGACTTTTTGTATCATTCAAGTTACAAAAACACTGGTTCCTACCATTTCTATAATATAACTCAAACTGACTTGTAAATGTCCACATCTTTCAGTCTACATGCCCCCATTTTGTAACACAGGTTTTCCATTTAAAAATGTGTAGTTTTAAAGAACAAGCCGAGATACATATGTCGTGTCACTTGAGCAATTTTCTCAATTGACAAAGCTAATCTTGGGGCCACAGCGGACACTGGTTTCACACACTGAGTAGTACTCCCCATAAATTAAACTTGGCATGTGAAATCGGTGGCATGGCCCTTTTAAAAACATTGGTTTTACGTTTTAAGTGTTTGCCAGTAAAGCAGTCTCATTCGGTTCTATTCTTGAAACAGTTCTGGCGGATGTTGTTTTATGTATTCACTCACTTGATCTGGTGAAGATGACCTCTTTCTGTCTGTCTGTCTGTTTGTCCATTCCTCTTCCTGTGTTTTCTCTCTTTGTTTTGCTCAGTGAACAAGAACGCTAACACCGACCAGAAGAAAAGCGAGGAGAAGAAGGAGGAGGAGGACGAGGGAGGAGATGAAGATGGCCCCAAACCCATGCCTCCCTACAGCTCCTGCTTCATTATGTCCACCACCAACCCGTGAGTATTTACCATACAGTCTATGGTATTTACGTGTGTGTGTGTGTGTGTGAGAGAGAGAGAGAGAGAGTGGTCACCTTGGTCAAAAATTGTTGTAAAACATTGTACTATGTACTTATTGAAGATTGAAAATGAAAATTATTTTGTTTTGTGTGCTTTTTTGTGTCAACATGCGTATGTGTCTGTGTGTTTGCACCAGATTTAGGAAGTGCTGTCACTACATCCTGACTCTGAAGTATTTTGAGTTCAGCATCCTGTCTGTCATCGCAATGAGCAGTATCGCCCTTGCTGCAGAGGACCCTGTCTCGCCTGACTCACTTCAGAACAATGTGAGACATTGCTCTGTGTGTCTTTCTGTCCACCTGTGATTGTGTGTGTGTCTATGTCCTTTTGAAAATAAAAGGTCTCCCAGGGATGTAAAGATAAGCCAAATCTTCCATAGTGAGGACACAATTTTTAATTGTACAGAGGTTAGTCTAGGGTTTTAAAGTAAAATAATGTTAGTTTAGGTTAGAATCATGTTAGTGATGTGGTTAATAATGGTGATGAAGATATTTGTTTTATCTTGCACCAGGGCTGGGCAGGATTCTGTGTGTAACTGTACACCAGCATATTGGAAAATGTTTAACGTATCATCTTTATACATCTTTATATGCCAGTTATATAGGTTATGTATTAAGTTGTATGTATTACAGCACCACTTGTAGACAATTCTTTAACATATTTTTAACAGAACATGTCTCTTAGTAATTTTCACAGTAGTTTTTTAAATAGCATCACAGATGACATAATTTGGCAGGTCTTCGGCTTAATACTGGATGATATATGAAAACCAGATTTTTTGGGTTGAGCTCTGAGCAAACTGACGCAAGAAGAGATATAGATATAACAATTGAATGCAGGATGCTTGATTGATGTCCAGTTTCAGTCAAACTACAACTGGCCCTGCATCAGCAAAGCACAGGGATGTAAGTCCTCTTGAGTGAGCGTAATTCTGAGTCCGCTCAAAATCTTTTTTAGCGTGACATGTTAAATGGAGTAAACCCTTTTGTCCATGGAGGCTGTAACTGCTCGTGTCGACTGACTAGTAGTTCCTCTGCTTATTCCAAGCACAAGATAGAAGATATTTAGTAAAGGTTGTAATGAAATAGATATTGTGAAATGGCAGTTTGAAAATAGAAAATGAAAGCAGGATTAAGATTAGAATTAGGATTAGGGTCTAGTTGGTTTGATTATTTGTCTCTTTCTCTCTTGTTGTTGATTTCTCCGGTTCTGTTTCTTCTTTTTTTCTCACTGATTCATCATTCTGCTTCTCTCTCTCTCTATCCTTCAAATATGATAATTATATCTCATGGTGTTGTGTTGCTCTGCAGGTGCTGCGTTATTTTGACTACGTTTTCACAGGCGTCTTCACATTTGAAATGTTGATCAAGGTAACAAAGTATCACTGTGTGTGTGAGAGACAGAGTGTGTATATTAACTACTTTTTAAAAGCTTTGCATAATTGTGTTTTTTGCTTATGTGTTTCTTTTTTGTGCAAAAACCTCTGCGTTAATATTTATGTTTGTGGTTGTTTGCCTGTGAGGGTTTTTTGTGTATTGTTTATTTGTGCTGTGTGTCTGTGCCCTTCTAAATGCACTGACTTGTGTATGAGTGTGTTGTTTAAATAACTGTATGTGTTGCTTTATGGATGTTAATACCGTATATATGCATGTATGTATTTGTGTGTTATACTGACTGTGTGCCATGTCTTCCAGATGGTGGTGCTGGGCTTGTTTCTCCACCAGGGCTCCTACTTCCGCGACTTGTGGAACATTCTGGACTTTATAGTGGTTAGTGGTGCTCTGGTGGCCTTCGCCTTCACGTAAGTCCCCTCCCCCCCACCCTCCCCTTCATCATCTCCACCACCCCCCCACACACGCACACACACATTCCACCATCCTCAGAAAGACCCTTGTCGCCCAGCCTTGTGCGTTCGATACACCAGGCAATGCTGATCTTTCTCTCCTATTTTCTCAGCCTCCTGTACTTCAGAAATCATCACCTCCAGTCCTTGTATTTCTACTCTGCTCTTCTTTGTCTTTTTCCACTTCCCGTCTCTGCTCTAGTATTGTACTTTTATTGTTTTTTGTCTGTCTTGGTACTCTCTTTGTCTCTCAAACTTTTTTCTGTAGGCTTGTCATTGTCTCTTTATTTCCCTCCCTCCTGCAGTCCAACCTTTTCTCCATTTACATCTCTATTTCCTCATTGGTCATCATCACATATGGTATCGTATCAGCAGGTCTTTCTCTACGTTTCATCGCCACCTTCATCATACACAACCACCCATAATCCTTAAGTAAATTATTTTCACAATGTTCTGGATGATCATCACCAATCTCTGGCCTACACTCTAAAAAGGAAAAGGGCTCCTCTTAAATTTTGTAATCTTTGGGGAACCTCAGAGGGTACCCTGCGGTACTCCTGAGAAATGATTATCACATTAGTTGTCTAAATGTCTTAACTTTTTTTGCATAGTTCTTCTGTAGTTCCAAGTGAGGAATCATAAAGTATAAAATTAGTTTTTAGAGTGTAGTCACACTGTCTTCACCCACATTTCACCCCCACAAATCCCAAACTTTGCCTGAAACATTCACCTCCAAACCTATCCCAAACATCATCTCCTTTACTGTCTGACTAATACAATATAAAGTACCACCGGCTCCTTCTCACCATTTTCTTTTCCCAATCTTCCTTGATCCTGTTCCCTACCCTTTGCTAATTCATGCTGCTCTGATATTTCCACCAACCAGGCCGTGAGTCATTCCTTCCTCTTTTCTTGTATCTAAAGCCCTGATCCCTCAAACATTTGCTTACCAACACTCCCACCAGGTCCTCCACAGCTTTGGTTCCTGCCTTCACCTCCTTCTAGATACCTTTCAACCCCCTCTTTCATAACAATTCTCCAACTATCATTAACCTACATTTATCCGATTTCCTCACTTCATCCCACTTACACCCACTTACACTCTCTTATTTTTAACATACAGCAAAGAGAGAACAAGGGAATATCTCATTTTCAGGGCTCTCTGTTAACCTCTCCTATGCTTCAGCAAACAAAGAGGGAAGTTTTAAAAAAAAATCAGATGCTTCTCCATTTTGGCTACATTTTGTTATCATGCTCCAACTCCAAGCTGTCCAAAAATTCATACCTCACAGTCAGTCCAATTTCTCCTGCCAGAATGAGCAACAAGAAGCCCATTATTTCTTTGTTTTTAAATGTTTTAGATTTAAATTAAAAAAGAGAGTGCAAATTTGCTAATCTTGCAAAATATGTCAAATTATGTCAGGACAAGCTGGGGTTTTTTGTGCTGTATGTTGTGAATAAGTGTTACCCATTGCTCCCTAGCTTGTCATTATCCCTACCCAACCCCAGCCTCCACCCGTGTCTGAATATAACTCCTAAAATCCGTAATTTACCCTTCAGCCCCTGCAAACTCCACCACACGCACCATTCAACCCCACCTCTCCAATAAGCATTAAAGCCAACATCCTGCCTTCAACCCAACCATACCCCCACCTTTTCATCCTCCCCAATCCTCCAGGCTGGAGGGTCCCTATTGGTCAGTCCGTGGGGGTGAGGGCGCCCCAGACACCTTTAACCCTTTAAGTGCCCAGGCTTTCTGTTCGCAACAGGGAGGAACGCCACCTGAGCTCATCGCCTCGTTCCCCTCTCTCTCTTTTACCCACACACACTCAAACACAAACACACATACTCTTCTGTTGTTCTGACCATGTTAACGTAACCGGCGGCTCAGGTATTTAACTCTCCTTCCTCTGCACGACCTGGGGAAGTCAGACTGAATGTGGGAGGGAAGGAGCATGCTGGGGCAGGGTGTGGTGGGTGGAATGATTTGTTATTATGCCGAGATAGTGTATAGATAAATACATATGAATTAAATATGTATGATACATGAAACTGGAGGGACTGAATGTGTGTCTGTGTGAGAAAAAACCCCAGAAGAGTAAGTGAGAGAGAAAGAAGCTTGTGTGTGCATCCTCCTCAGCTCTGTGGATGCCCAGTGCATGTTTGCCTTGGTGACTGCATGAACCTGAACACAACCTGCGATGCAGTAGACTGCATTACTTAGAACTATGTTACTGATGTTCTAGGTCAGTCACAGGCAAAGAATGTATTCCAGTTAAATATGTTCTGTGAATCTTAGAGCTAATATCTACTGTCAAAATGTGTTCAGACTGACTGCAAAGCAAATTATAGAAATGGGGCTACTGCAAAAAAAAAGTCTATGGAAATACATGTGACAATAATAAAGTACATGCAGATTTGTTTGAGGTGGCATGAACAGAGGTCAAGATACCCAAGCTGAAATTGTTTTGTATTATTCAACATTTTTCTGCTTGTGAACAAATTCCATGAAAAGAGTAAAACCAATAATGTTAGTTAGTCCATCTGTCAATACTTGATTTCCCTACCCTGTCTTTGGCACTAAGACAAGCCCATTTGTTTCTACTGAAGATGTCTTTCAAAATGTGTCACAAATATATAGTTTGATTTCCAAACTAGGTTAAATAATTTTCTAAAACAAGCTGGGCGCTGTATTTTTTAACAAACTTTGCTCAAACATGGAAGAAACGTGCACTTGGGAACTATTCTCAGCTAAAAATAAATACAATAGCTTTAGAGCAGCAGGGCAGCATATATGGGCTCAGCTCTGAACACACAACATCTATTGTATATCTGTATGTCCTGGAATAGATTTTCCCTCTCTTATCTCACATGATAAAACATTTCGCCTACGTCTCATATAAAAAAAACAGAGGCAGACATCTCACACCACTCCACAGCTAGTAGTGTTAATGACTTCACTTAGCACTCACTCTGAACACACAATACCTCTGTTTTTAATAGCAAATATAAGTTATTATCCTGTTCTGAATGCCATTGTCACTATACGTTCACACTGCCGGCAACTGCAAGCTTTAGCCAGTGTTAATTATGGTTGATGTGTCTCTTTGATAATCAAAAAGGCTGTCATCATGTCCAACAATATAAGCAAACACATATCAGCTATTGAACAGTATCAAAGCCATGTGTGTTGCTCACAGTCTGAATCCAGAGTGAACAGTGTTCAAGGAATCAACAGCAGCAAAGGTAAATCAAGCAGCAAGCAGAATGGGGAAGGTGCACATACAAGCTTTTTAACACACAGCTTTCAGGAGACAGGTGTTATGAATTTAAAGTGATATAATACTTTGGTTAAACACTTCAAGTCACTTTTACTGTACATACAATATCAGAGCTACCAATAGCATCAGGACAAATAAAACTGCAAACAAGTAGAAATTACTGTCCAGTACAAACATTAAAAACATTTTTTACCTGACAGTGATTTTTCTCAGTCAAATTACAGATTGAAAGTATCAAAGCAGCACCAGGCACAGGTTCCCAGAAATAATAATAGTGGACAGATCATGAACATTAATACGCAGCAAAAAGTGAAATTGTTCAATCAAAGATGTATATCACTTTGGCTAACAAGCCAAGCAATACCTGCACAAAAAACAACAAAACAAGTTGAAAATCGCTCCACTGCTGCACCCTCCACAGCATGACTCCCCGTTGGAATAAAGATCCCTCCTCCTTGTCCTCTCCTCTCCCCTCTCTTGGCCTCTCACTTCCCTAATCTCCCTTTCCGTTACCTTTTAAGATGCTCTCCCACCATTGGCCCTCTCACCTTTGCCTCTTCTCTCCACCCTTTTTTCCTCTCCACCAACTCCCCACCTTTGCCTCATCATTCCCACCATCTGCTCCAGGGCTGAGCGATAGTACAGTTTTGCTTAAGGGGCAAAGGCTTCACACACACCTATGAAATTTCACTTTGACGCATGACATTGTTTCAAAGCAGGTACATCAGAGAGCCATTGTACAGAGAGGAGTTTTAGCATGGTCAGAGTGCAATGGCTTCATATTTTTATGGGTTATAAACACAACAATTGCGCTTCTGGCACCCTTCATCCTCCAAATAAATGCTGTATGAAAAATTACTGAGAACTGCATGCAGTCGCAGTACTCTGTGAGAATGCCTTGTCATTCTATTGATGGTGTGTGTGTATGGGAGAATACACACAAATCCTGGTTTCTTGAGTCTGTACTCATGATGGATATCCTGAGTGTATGGCCATGTGCTCTAACATGTCAAGAAAACCTGGAACCGGCCCTTTTTCTTCCCCTTTGCTGATGTGCATGCAAAAGAGCTTTGATAAAATCCCACTAGATGATTGCAGATCTAATGGGGGCAATTTGTGCTGTAGGCCTGGCCTAATTGATCATTATGGTGTGATAAGATAAGAATCTGTGTAAATGGATGCAGCAATCGAGTTTCCTCTTCCAACCATGAAGGTAAATCTTCATAGAGCTGGTAGCACAGCAGAAGACAGCCAGGAGGGAAGGTTTGCACATCCAGAGTCTTGGTCAGAAGTTAACTGAGAATTATTGTCGGATGCTTTTTTTAAAGACGACACATGCTTAAATGTTGGATTTATGTAATTTATCCTAGCCCTTTTCAGATTATATGAATTATTGTTTGTTTTAGGTGTTATGTCATTATTTAAAAAAATTCAAATGGTGTTTTAGCCATAACATTCCATGCATGTCAGATTAGCACATTTGATCACAATAATGTACTGTATTTGCTAGCTTTGTTAATATTACCTATACAAAGCTATGCTGATGGTATAGAAATGAAAATGCTGATGGACCTATTGTGAAACAAGCAATTTACAATATGGATCAAGTTAAAATGCAGACTTTTGGAATAGTTCATTTTTTAGTAATTTTTGAATAAGACATACCAATGTCAAATCAGGCAATGATTTCCAAGCTATCAACTTTTTAGTTAAGCTTTTGGGTGGCTAACTGCCTGTCTTTCAACTGATCTATCAGATGAAATCAGGAAATCACCAGATTTATAAAGTTATCCTTCACCTTTTTATTGTTAGCTTGTTGTGCACTGTGAAAGTGTTTATTAGAAGATTTTCTTAACTATCAAAGTGTCAGAATATTGTATTTGTCAAGAGGATGTGCAGTTTTACTGTTTAATTTAAACAAGTGGCCAGTGTTGTATCGTGGTTGTGATCCATGCTGTTTAACAACCTTGTGGTCTTATAAAGCCAAACAAATCTCACGGAAATTGTGCAATATACACGATAATTCAGTATGTAGAACTCAACTTATCTAATAACAAATTCAGCAGACATGTATGTAGACATCCCATCCAGTTGTCAAGGAGACCATAGGTGGGTGTGGGGGGGAGGTTGAATGAGAGGGAGTGATGTGTGTATCTGAGTGTGTATACAACATGTGTGTTAGTGGATTAGTGGATGAGGAGTTTTAAAAGCAGGTATGACCATCTTGCTGTCCTTCCTTCCTTGTCTGTCTCTCATATGGATGTATTTTTTCCTGTTTCTACCAAACCCCCTCTCTTTTGTCTTGTGTCTGTCTTTGTTGGTTTTTCTCTTTCAATGTGTGTCTCTGTGTGTGTGTCTGTCTTTCTATGTGTTTTCCCTTCTCCTGCCTTCCCTTCCTCCTCCTCTTCTTCTGTCTTTCTTTCTGTCGCTGTCTGACTCTCGCTGTCCCCACCTTCGTTGAAACTCCACAGGAGCACCACCCGGTAAAGTTCTTCCTCTGTCCTCCTCCGCTCTGTCCCCTGCTCTCCACCACCGGATCAAATTGGCTTCTCTCTCTTTCTTTCTTTGTTCTTCTGATCGTTCGTACTCATTCTCGCCATTTCATAACTTGTCTATTCTTCACATGCCAAAGAAAACCATCCAAACACCATAATAGCTTCGTCGATAGGTTTGATTTAAAGGTTTTGATTTGATGCCCACAGGTTTTTTGGAAGTACTAGGGTTCCACTTTTGCAAATGATTAATTTACTAGTCAAAATGTCCATGATACATACATTTTTTTGAAAAATTGTGATACTTCACCCACAGTCTCTTTAACAGGCATGCCATGTAGGCTTTAAAGGTGGCTGCAAAAAGCATTTTTGTTTTATCCTTCACACAGGTTAGGGTCAGTTAAAATGTATATGATTCAAAAGATTTTAAATAACTTTGCCACCGTCCATCCTTATGCTCAGTACATTCACTTATTTTCACCAAAATTAGGCTACTATGCTACTTGCATCGCAATCCCAGCTCTTCACGTAGCAGTCAGATTCAATCCAGAAAGTTTGTTCAAACATATGTTTAGCAGGCATGACAGAATGCTCAAACAGTGTACTATACATACTCATACATACACACATGCATTGTGAGACTTAAAGAGCCGATGCCTTATCATTATGCTAGTGTGTGCGTGCAAGTTCTTGTGTGTGTGTGTGTGTGTGTGTGTGTGTGTGTGCGTGTGCATAGGGATGTTTTTAATTCCTAACACCTATGGCCTTACTGGGCTTTACTCTAATACTCTCAAGCTGCTCTGATAGAGAGACCTCAGTCTTACTCAACTTCAAAGGAGGAAGGCCTATTGATTATCGATTGAGTCTCACTCTCGCACACACACACACACACACACAACTCCCCGCACGCATACACGTAGAATTTCCAAGGCTCAGACTCAATCAATCAGCCTTGAATTGAATTGTCTTACGTTTTCTGCCATGGGAGCTGAGTTCATAGTTAAAGAGCGAGCCTTGATGGACGACCTCTCTTCTGCTCTGGCTTGGCAGGCATCCAGGCGCCTCCTGCCTTGTGTTTTTGAAAATGGCCCATCCACTTACAGTAAAGATCAACTCGGCTATTTACTCCCTTGACACCCCAATTTTTCCTCACTGATACTGGTTTATGGGCGTACAAATCATGAACAGAATGTTCAGTTATGGGCTTCGGAGGGGAAACAAGCGCATTAAAACACACAACCTAAATCGTTTCCTCCGGTCGCCCTCATGGCTCGTTTGACGCTAGTGGTGCAACATGTTCGTTTGTGTTATGACATGTGATGTTGTGTTCTGCAAACAACATCACATGTCCCCAGAGTCTCGCATAGCCTTCCTGTACTTGTGTCTTTCGATTCAGGTTGCAGTCCTGAGCGAAGAAAAATACAAACACATCTTCTGAAATTTGGATTCAAGTGAAAGGAAGCTATGTGAAACATACCAGAATCTGTTCATTTAGTGTTTCAAAAATCTGGATTATATCGACATAATCCTAGCCATGTAATACTTAAAGTTCACACTTCATGTTTTCACATCTAAAATCTCCCATTTCTTCCGAAGAACCGAACAGCGCGTCACTGAAAAAGAAAGAAAGAGGTTTGGCTGGGCACTCTGCCGGGAGATGCCTGTCTATAGAATGAGTGAATGTTTATTGTATAATGGTCAAGATTATAATAAATGATAATGGGGATCTTGATGTCCATGAAACCAAAGGGTCAGGCAAGTGATTGCTTTCCCTCCCACTGGTTTCATGTTTGACGTGTAATTAAAAGTGTCTTTATTCTGCAGAAGAAGAGACTATAAGAGCTTTGATAGTCCACACTGATGCAGTGTACTGCAAGTGTCAACTCATGTGTTGCTTTCACTTAGATTGCCATTACAGCAGTTATGTTTAAAGGGGCTATATGTAGTTTTTCAATAAAATCACTTAATAAATCAAATGTTTATTGCCTTAATGTCAGTGGGCTTTAACCTCACTTAGAAATGAAGCACACGCCTGTTTTCTCTGTTGCAGTCATGTAACGAGCATGGATTAGTTCAACCTCAAGCTGATATATATATTACTCTAACATTGCAGCGGGAGTTTACCTGAGTTTCCAGCGTGTTGTGTATATACGGGAATATTCAGGGAGCCTGAACATGTCTGGAGAAAAGCCACAGCCGACATGCTGGTGTTTCCGCGTTTATTGTGGGACCTCTCTAAGAAAGCGGTTGTGTTTCGTTTTGTTGTATGCTCGCTCATGAGTTCAAGCGAGCACGCGTACGAGCGCACACCTGGTTGCAATCTTAAAACCGCACCGATAGTGGCCGCTGAAACTACATATTACCCCTTTAAGATAAATTCAACTTTGAGGACATACCCCTAAGTCCACCTCACCCTCTTTTTAAAAACACTTGATAATACCAGAGGGTGCAGGAAGGGCCCTTTATGATTGTTCCATAGCTTGATTCTTCCACTCTGTTCTCTAATTCTCTGTTGTTCTTTGGTTGAACTCTAGGGGGAGCAGCAAGGGCAAAGACATCAGTACGATAAAGTCCCTCCGTGTGCTGAGGGTGCTTCGTCCTCTGAAGACCATTAAACGACTCCCCAAGTTAAAGGTAGGCGCTCAGCAGGTCTGTTGGTGCTTCTCAGCTCTGGGGCTACAAACATGTAGTGCAGTTTTCTGGATTAAGTAAACAAGGTCTATCTCATTTCAAAGGCTCCTCTGAATCAGAAGTAAAGTCTTCTTTTGGAAGAATTTGGACCCCTCAGTATATCACTGAATTCCTTAAAAGATGCAGCCCCTGGAGTGGGACACAGCTTGCGGCACATCTTTGTGTAAAAATGTGCGTGCATTATTGGAACAGTGACATCTGCTCTTTTTCTATTTCTTCATGTTTTATTTTCATGGCTTTTGTCATCGGCTTTATTCTTTATGAAGACGTTGCACTCACCAAAATAACTGCTGAGATCCCAAAATGTGGTGACGTTGCTGAACTAAGTACATAAACAGGACAAAAGAGGCGATGATCTGAGCTGTTGTAAACAAACAACCAGCCAAATTTTTTTGGAAAAGAAAACAAAGGCGAACAGTAAAATTATTACCAAAACTGTTCGTCAGAAATATCAATTACAGTTTGCAGACTAAATTCCTGGTTGTACTTTTCTTTAAACCTTCAGCACAGACAACACCATTTCTCTGGAAGTTGTTTAAAAGCATTAGGATATGATGTAGACAAGGCAGGCTAGGGAAAAGAGGTCAATGCATAACTCAACATCTCACATAGAGTGGACTTGCCCTTAAAAGTTGGGGGAAAAAATGTAAAGATAATTTAGGGTTACATGAATGTTATCAGAATACTGCAGCACTGACAACTGACCTTCATATTTAGTATTTTGAGATATTATCCCACTGTTGCCTTCTCTGTGTAGTCATGCTGGTTAATTAGCCTACACATACAGTTAAAGTATGTTTGTCTCCCGTCTCTATCTTGCAGGCTGTGTTTGACTGTGTGGTCAACTCTCTGAAGAATGTGCTGAACATCTTGATTGTCTACATGCTCTTCATGTTCATCTTTGCTGTGGTGGCCGTGCAGCTCTTCAAGGGCAGATTCTTCTACTGCACGGACGAATCCAAAGAGTTTGAGCGCGACTGCAGGTTGGTTCAGGGACACATAGTGCACAATACACACAACACAATTTCATTCAGTATGTTTTCCGTGAAGTGCCAAAAGAAATTTAGAGTATTATATATATATATATTTTACACATTATTAAGAATAAATTGTTGTACTGTTAAATGATTTCACTCCCTTCACTTCCTTTGGTATTTTTCTATTTGTATTTTATGTTAAGTAGAAAAATATAAGTCACTTATTGCCTTGGCACAGTTGTATCAGTTTTTCTTTTGCTACGACCTTGAGGAGTTTGCTGGGAATGTTAATAAATAGTGTTGTTCAGTGAGAAAATAGTCACTCTATAAGACGTAACCCCCCTAACTTCTCATTATGTCAAACAGAAACAAAGATGTAGGGTGTGGTAGTCCTGGTGCTTTCTGTTCTATCTATTACTTATCAATCAGTAAAAACAGTAAACCTGCAAATCATTATAAACCCTGTGTGTGTTCCTTCAGGGGCGAGTACTTGGTGTATGACAGAGATGAGGTTAAAGCTCAGAAGCGGGAGTGGAAGAAGTACGATTTCCACTACGACAACGTGGCTTGGGCCCTGCTCACCCTCTTCACTGTCTCCACTGGAGAGGGGTGGCCGCAGTGAGTGGGATGCACACAGACACACACACCTAAACTTGTTCATAATACACTCTCCAATTTGAGATCCTACTCATAACATTACTGGGGCTGCATAAATGTGGATAAACTATATATTGTAATTGGATGAGTTTTGGTATCCACATTTATTAATCATGTAGTAGAGGCATAGAAGTAATCCTGAAAAAAAAAAAAGGAATTTTAAACAGCTGCTCTAATCCAAAAGTCCAGGATGTAAAAATAAAATACGAATTTCTTGAATTCTAAGATATTGTGCATCATGGCTATGGTTGAAATATCCAGAAATATCAAATTTATTCATTTAAACCATAAATCTGAAGCTGAAACAAACAGGCTGCATATTAATGATAATATTTTCTGTAACAAGTTAATGTTATTTGGGAAAATTCTATACACTTAATGGCATAACCTTACAGAGTTATTATTGGCAAACAGATAGTCAAATAAAAAGTAGATATGTTAATCTAAAAACACAATGAATGCTAATGCATATATTTACATTGGTGTGACCATAAACTTCCCTGTACCCTAACTTTATTTTTAATTTGAATTTTCTCTTCCTCTCGCAGGGTGTTAAAGCACTCAGTGGACTCCACCTATGAGAATCAGGGCCCTAGCCCAGGTTACAGGATGGAAATGTCCATCTTTTACGTGGTGTACTTCGTTGTCTTCCCCTTCTTCTTCGTAAACATCTTTGTGGCTCTTATCATCATCACCTTCCAGGAACAGGGGGATAAGATGATGGAGGACTATAGCTTAGAAAAAAATGAGGTGAGGAGAGATTCAGAGGTCTCTAAATCGTCTAGTGTTTAAAATATATTTTTAAAGCTTCTTAAAGAGTTAAAAGACACAAGTAATGTTATTGTAACTCTTCTTTCCTCTCCTCTCATTTCCTTTCCTCCAACAGAGAGCATGTATAGATTTTGCCATCAACGCCAGGCCTCTGACTCGCCACATGCCGAAGAATAAACTAAGCTTCCAGTATCGCATGTGGCAGTTTGTGGTGTCTCCGCCCTTCGAGTACAGCATCATGTCTCTGATTGCGCTCAACACCATCGTCCTTATGATGAAGGTACAAATCTGTTTGTCAGTGTGGACTCTCTAACAGTGTCTTCTGCCAACTGTGATGTTTTCTTGATGAGACTTGCTGTAATGTAAAACTCTCAAAACTATTTAATCAGTGCCATCCTAGTTTGGTCTCCAAGAACTGAACCCATTTATAAAGCTGCATTAATCAACATTTTAGTATTAACAATGGATTAAATGACTATGACTATAAAAAACTATGCACAAAGTGAAAGGTGTTGCTTGTGGTGATGAACCCACAGAAATGACTCTGCAGTGTCCCTCATCTCTACAGAGCCTTTTTGCATCTTTCAGCTCATGGTTTTGGTTTTATGCCTCACACCTTTACTGTTTTAGTTCACTTTCATCATCCCTGTTTTCAGCAAAAACGTTAACATAAACCCACTGTACCCTACCTACCCAGCGCCAAATGACAGACAGACAAAGTTAGTGGCTAGCTGGTGAACATAGTGGAGCATTTAGCATCTAAAGAGCCAGATATTTCCTTTTGGAGTTTGTGGATAAAAAAACAGAGCTAAAAGAGAGTGAATATTAGACATACATTTATCCAGTCATCAGAAACGCAACTCTGAACTTATGAATGCTGATGTTGCTCTGACTGACGAGTGTGTAAATAGATTAGTGTTGGCTAACACATTAGACGTATCAGTTCAGTAAATTACAGTAATGCAGCTTTAGATCAAATGCTAATGTCCGGATTCAAAATTGGCAAATAAGGAGTCAACTAAATACAACATTTTCATTATACAAAGACACTATAATTATTTTTAAAGGCCTTTACTTATACTAGTATATAGTTTTCTTCTTATCATGATGTAACTACTGTAACTATTTCCTCAATATGACAAGCTTTGTTTTGCTCTAATAACATCAGTCATTTTCTGTGAGGAAGAAAGCTCTGTCATTAAGCAAAATAAAATATTTTCATTAGAGAAAAGACTGTTGACAGGTTAGTATGTTGAAATCATTGCATATTCATTTTTGTCAGTATCTCATAACAAGACATATCGTTTTCTCACTGTCACAGAATAACCTTTTATTTGGCCTGGCTGGTGATGATTTACCAAATGTTACATGTCAACATGGCAAGGATGCATTTTCTTATTACTTTGTCTTCAGTTTTGGGAGGATACTGTGATCACAAAACTAAAAGAGACACAAAACTAAAATTATTTTTCTCTGTGCTGCACGTCCTTCTCATAAACCAAGCATTATGTCTGTCCTGGGAAAACAAGATGCTGCTTAGGAAGAACTCTGCACTCTTACATTTACTTTTACTGTTCTCATCCTTTTTCTATCCTTTTTTTTGTGTGTCTCTAGTTTGAAGGTGCATCACATACCTACAATGAAGTCCTGAAGAACCTCAACATCGTGTTTACCACCTTCTTCTTCATGGAGTCAATCCTCAAGATCATCGCTTTCGGCCCTCTGGTAAGGCTGAAAACCACAAACACATATACACTCTCACATATTGCTTATCTAGGTTGGCCCAGTGTATATGCTTGAGTGTTTCGTCCTATTATTCATTTATAAAGCGAGTTATTTTGGTAGACAGATCTAGAGCATGTTCTTCCTGTCCTGAAAAACTCAGAGCGTACCGTGTTGCACAGCCGTCACGCTATCAGCCTCCTTCCAGCCTGTCTCCACGGTAACAACACCACCATTGGCCAGGAGTGTGTCCATTACTACCCCTTGGTTTCAGTTCCCAGAGAGTGCAACTGGCTCTCTGTCTTCTCGTTTGGCTGATGTCTGTCACTTTTCTGTCTTTCCCAACAGAATTACTTCAGAGATGCCTGGAACATTTTTGATTTTGTCTCCGTCCTTGGAAGTATCACTGACATATTAGTGACAGAACTAGTGGTAAGTGCTGTGAAGGGTTTGGATAAATTGACAGCAGCTGTTTGCAGCTGAATACTAGTTGATGATTTGACACATGAAACTGACGTGGTGGACTCAAAGGAAAAATCAGCCTTCTTTTCATTGTCCAACCCAGTCTTTCAACAAGATCTAGGTTTTACTTTAGTTTCATTTGTCTGTTCTCAGTAAATATACATTTTAAATTAATTTAGAGGAGGCAACCAATGTAATTGTTGTTATAAACATGACCACCTTTCTATTGGGAGTCATAAAGTGACCATGTGTAGGTCTTTTTGCCCAAGCAAATACCTTACTGAATGTACAAACAAGCAGAACACAAATTCATGATTTGTATTTTACTTATTTAGACAGCAATTATTTGACAAGCAAAATTGTTCAATGCTAACGTTCCAGTAAGATTATAAAAAAGAATCACATATTCCATTAAGCTGTTATACTACCACTTAAAAACACCAGGTATATTGATGAAAAAGATAAAAATAATTGTTCTGGACTGATTTTTCCTTAAGTCAGTTACCTATCACACCATCTAGTCACATTCACACAGAGGTGGGGCTGAAAGGGAAAACTTGCAGAGGGAAACAGCTAGTCTGGCTCTTTCTAAAGGTAACAAAATCCATCTACCGTGCACAGTGGCTTCCTAAAGTCTCCGCTCACAGTGACAAGACTATAGGAAGTCACTACCCCTGGCCAAGAAACAAATAAACGTACAATATGTACCTATATAATAAAATATGTATTTATAATAATTATGATGTGCTGGTAGTCATATTTTTTTTTGTTTTGTTTAACCCTATTTTATTCTTTAGCAAAGCTTTGCTAACCAGCTAATGTGATAATGTCATATTTACCATACAGACATAAAAAGGGTATCAATCTTCTGATCTATTTCTTGGCAAGAAAGCGGATGCGGATATTTCCTTAAACTATTTCTTTAACTATCAAAACATCTGTTTTAGACTTTTGTTTTCTTGCTAAAATAAATTTAGCTGTCTGTCAGACAGACAATTACATTTATGATTCTAAAGAGATAACAGACATTAACTAATTGTACCTTGCAAGTATCCAATGGTCTGTGTGTGTCTATATGCGGTGTTTACATTATTTTATGGAATGTTTCATTCAAAAATTCATGCAGAATTTAAATAGTTGTTAAATATTTGATCATTTTGTGACTATAGTTTCATTTCAAATTCTTCAAATTTCCATTTTTGGAGTGAAACCTGCCACACAACTGAATTACAGAGGATTGGTGTGCAGTATTCCTTCAACCCCAAATGTCAAATAATTAGTCCACATTGCCGGCATTCAAATTACAACCCATGTAGTTAAGTACAACCGGGGAACAGACTAGTGGAGTCTGATGTTTGGGGTTAAATAGTAATGTGTACCAATCATTGATTGTGCCTTAACTTGTGTTTATATCACTGTTACCTGTGATTTTGTTGTTTGTACAGTATGTCTATTAGTATGTATCTGTTTTATTCTATACATATGAGCTTAATATGATATAATAGATATAAGACTTGATATTTGTAGTAACTTCAGCCCCTCTTTGTTTGTTTTACACCTTACACCAAAGCGATTTTGGTTTTGACATCTGGGATTCGGTTATGAACTTACTAAACCTCTCTAATTTGAACCGAAGTCTTCCTTTAATTCACACTGACTAGATTAGCAGTAAGGGTGCTAATTACTGCAAAACAACTGTGTTTTCAGATGATTAAAGATACCCTTTGGCCATGTTGGTGCTAAATTTACATCTCAGCTGTCTGAACAGACATTGATTGACATTATAGCTGTTGTCAACAATGAACTGACCATTTCAGACATTAGATTGATTCTCTGTCAGTTTGCAGCTTCTAACCTGCCAGTTAAGCACATCTGATCTTTACCCTAGCTAAAAACCAGTGTTAGTGGTGGCTAATAATCGCATGCTTATATTGACTTGGTTGCATAGTTACCATGTGGACAAAGCCAAAAAACAGCTGCTAGTTCAGAATAACTACACTGGCTTTGTCTTGTAACAGCTCTGGAGACTACATTTCCCCAAAACTGAGCCAACATCTACTTAATAAGACCAGTCTTTTTCTCTACTGACTGGCAAATGCAAGACAGCCAGCAAATCAAATAAGGAGAAAAGAAGGCTCGGCACACTTTTGACCAGTGCAAGAATTAACTCAAAATGGCATACAGAGCAAAGTCACTGTCATGCAGCAAATGCAGGTCACACAACACAACAAATTTTACAAATACAGCGTATCAAAATCTGAGGATAAAACAATACAGAAAGAAAACATATAATCAAAATGACAATGTAAATACATGTCAGTGGAAACATTGCAAATGCTTAAAAACTTTGAAGTTAATGACTTTACTTAAAATAACTACTAATTTTGTAGGGAGAACTGAACGCCACAACAAGTTTCTTGCTGTCCAATGCTAAAGCTAACAGAATAAGAAAGTACTACATGGTTTTCTAATAGGGCTGACATGAAAGAGGGGCTGAACATATTGAATCTCAAATCACTCACTAACTGTTGTTGTTGACTTGAACTTGTGTTTCACTGCCTTTTTAATGACACCCATAATGATTCCGTCTTCCTCTTCTATCTCTTTACATGCTTTCTTTAAACCTCTCTACTTTGTTGGCGTCCTACGCCCCTCCCACTCCCTCCTCCTCTGATAAAATCCATCCAATCAAAATGCACTATGAAATCCTTTCATCGTGTTTTCCATCCGTGCTGCGCCATGCCATGTGGTGGTGGTGCTGTGATGATGATGATGATGATGATGATGATAATGATGGTGGTGGTGTGCGTTTCGCCCCATGCCTCTGCCCAATAAAAAACACGACCAACACCCCCCCCACACACACACACACAAACTCACACAAATGTCTCTCACCCACTCACAATGTACTACAACTTACCCACAAAAAAAACTCCCTCCCTATTCATCTTTCTACATCTTCGCACATGTAGAATCTGGTTGGTTTGTAATTTATCTCTCAAAGCTTTCTGCTGCATCCTCATTGGTCATGCGTACCCCCGACTCATTCCTTACCCCCAGTCACCTGCTCCCCTTTGACCAGTCTTAACCCTAAACCGCAGTGCATGCGCTTCCTGGATGATGACCCTTTAAACCCTTTGTACTTGATGACATGGAACGGTTTATTATTAACATAATAAATTTTTACATAGCAATACAGGTACATATATGTATGTATATGCAATTCCCTAGAAAACGTAAGAAGTTTTGCACATGTTAAAGTTGAATATTTAATTTACTCTTGCTTTTGATTGATGGCAGTGCAAAAAAGTTTCCTGTTTGCAGTACTTTATTCATTCAATTCAAAAGTCTTCAAAGTTTCAAAAATGTTTCCAGCCAAATTAGTGATATAGAACATGGGCTGCCGTTATACACAATATTGGCAAACACAACTTCAATATTTTGCTCCTGGCAAAGGTTTTGTGCACCAAAATAGGTAGACTGGGATCGTTTTCAACATGTAGTTGATTGTTTGATACTATACCTATTTTATTTTACTCACAGCATCCGTGTGGGGTAGTGCTGACCACCTCAAAGATCACATGTAATTAAAGTGCAATACGTTAATAACTTATATTCTTTGCATCAGTATGAGGGTATGCATATTTGTGTTATCATAACATTACAACAAACCATTAGCGTTAACATTAGCAGCTAGCTTTTACCAGCACTTGGTTCAACACAATCTGATGCAAATTGAAAAACTAAAATCTCTTCTTAGTGCAACAATAGAAGGGAATGCGTGAAAGTTCACAATGTGCTCGGCCGCACTGGTCCTTACTGGTCTGCATGTAGGCCGGTTCTTCCCTCAAAGAGTATGCTGCCATGCCAAACCATGCCTGCACTGAGGCTGCTCGTTTGTCCCTTCTTCTTCCTCTCCCTCTTCATGCTCCTCTTCCTGCCATGCCTGTCAACCACAAAATGCCAATGCCTCATCAGGGAGTTTGGCTGTTGTGCATTACATTATTCTTTCTGTGACACTGTAAAAACCACCAATAAAAATCAGCAAATTCATTGGGCTTAATCCATGTCGAGACCATGGTGTGTTTATGGGCCTTTTCACACTTGGTCTACATGCTTGAGTCTGTACCCAAGTTTGTTTTCTTCTTGTCTAGCAGATGGAGTAATTACTACAGGATTGTTTTTCACACACAAGAGTTACTCTAAAGCATGGATAGATTTTGTCAGAGGCATCCTCATCATTATTCATCTTCAACTGGTACTTTAGTGCAAAAACTTCGGAAAGCAGTCTTGCCTGGGTGTGGGGTAGGTCATGATCCAACTGCACCTTCAAACAAGGCCCATAAAAATAATCAATGTGTCATAAACATATTAGTATGTTTTTGACAGTTGACAGTAATATTTCCTTTGCTCCAAATTTCACCACAAAGTTTCCTTTTGTGTACGTAATAACAATTGGTGTTGGCTCAGAGAGCACCAGAGCATGCTCAAAGCAAACCCCAGACACTGTTTTGTGGTGGACCTGAGACCAGCTTTCTGGGCTGAAGACCATAGCAACACTTTACCAAAGATACCAAACTGTCCAGACTGGAAAATAATCTCCCAATTTCAACCCAAGTGTGAAAACGCTCCAAGTTTATCCAACTCAGATACAAAATGGGTGCTGTTCTCTGGAGATGAGATGCCGGATGTGGGCTGATTTTGAAAAAAAAAAAGCTTTTTTTAAAGAGGTGTCACAGACAACCCAAGCCATGCTCTTCAGGCCACAGAGAAAGTGTGTGTGATTGTGTCTGTGTGTGACTGGCCGTGTGTGTGTGTGTGACTGGCCGTGTGTGTGTGTGTGGTTGACAGGCACAGTGCACTGTGCTCCATCTTGTGTGGCCTGCTTGCCCCCCCAGAGATCAGTGCATTTGGTTCTCTTAAAAAAAAGCATTCTGCTGTACCAGATTGGATGATGACCTTTAGACTATTTGACTTATGAGTTTCCTTATTTCCTCTCTTTTTCCTTCTTTTGTCTTATGACCCTTTCTCTGTCTTTCTCTCGTTTATACTTGAATCTACTAAGAGCCATTATGTTTGCAGTTGGTTATGTTTTGTTGGGTTTAATTTCCCCCCTCTCTCTTTGTCCTCTCGTTCTTCCGCTGTTGTTTTTTTGTTTTTTGTGTTTGGTAGAGGGAGGTTCTGAAAGTGTCATGTGTTTGGTGAATCTGACTGTGTTCTCCCTTTGTGCTGTAGGATAACTTCATCAACTTGAGCTTCCTGAGGCTGTTCAGAGCGGCTCGCCTCATCAAGCTACTGAGACAGGGAGAAACCATCCGCATCCTGTTGTGGACCTTTGTCCAGTCCTTCAAGGTATTCAGTCATTAACAGAATTTACATATAGTCACAATACATGTAGCCGCTCTTACAAATATTTCCTGTCTCTATCTTCTCTTCTAGGCTCTGCCATACGTGTGCCTGCTCATTGCCATGCTCTTCTTCATCTATGCCATCATCGGCATGCAGGTGAGTACTGCCTATCTAAACACATTAAAACACATTCTTATATGTATTTGTATAGGTGTGTATGCAAAATCTGAATCAGCAAAGTAACTCCCAAATAAATGCAGTGGAAGTACAAAAAATAAGTTAAGCAACATTGGCCTCTTAAATATAAATTAGAAGAATAAGTACAGCACCACAAAGTTTAAGCACTCAAGTTACGTACAAGTACCTCAAAATAAAATGTAATTACTGTGAGTGAGTAAATGTGCTGATTAGAAATCTAATACAGACGTAGCATTTTGGTACTACATTGTTTCAGTGTTACCATCAGAGTGGAGAAAATGCAGTAATTTCTTTTTTGTGTGCAGTTGTTTGGGAATGTGGCACTAAATGAGGAGGAAGGGAGTGCAATCAATGACCACAATAACTTCAGAACCTTCATCATGGCCCTAATGCTGCTGTTCAGGTGAGTCTTATAGACAATTACATACAATGTACATCGAAATGTTCACACAGGCCTCCTCATTCTCAAAATGTTAACATGTGACCCACAGGAGTTGTAATTTTCAAGCTGTGACCCTTAAATAGTTGCTCTCACACACATTTCTAAAGGACTGTGATTTTGCAAGTGTATATATTGCGTACACACATGTTCAGCGACTCCTAGATGCATTTCACAGTCCTGTTGTGTTTGCGTGTGTGTGTGTTAATGTGTAAGTGTATTTAATTTCTTGTGTCCCAACAAACTAATGCACCATTGTAGAAAACTAAAACACACTTGGCACTGAGTTAATAGTTAAATAATCAAATCAGTTTTCGTCTGTGGTTGCTACTTCCATGATTTCTGAAATTCATCAGCATATTATCATTTTTATGAATTCTGATGTTCCCAAAGCTGAGCCACAGCAACATACTCTGTTTAATTTTTGCTTTTTTTAACTTCACTCTTTCATTTGTTTCCCCTCATGCAGGAGTGCTACGGGCGAGGCGTGGCATGAGATCATGTTGGCTTGCCTGGGTGGCAAGAAATGCGACCCGGCCTCAGGGAACACAGAGCCTGAATGTGGCAGCACCTTCGCCTACACTTACTTTGTCTCCTTCATCTTCCTCTGTTCTTTCCTGGTGAGAATTAAAAAAGAATGGCACTTTAACCAGTTCAGTTAATTTAAAATGTGCATTTGTGTGTATTTTTATATTAAATCCCATGACCTCTCCTTACTAGAAAACAGTATATTTTTGTTACAAATGTGCGAACATTCAAACCTAAAGGGAATAATATCATTTATTTCTCAACACTCCCATCTTCCCTGGTCTTACTACACTGTGTTCAAACACCAGTATTTATTTTGTAAACCTGGATACCATGTTCCAAAATGGCTAAAACAGTTTGCTACTGTGTTGTGTGGCAAATGACACGTGTCCATTTGTGTTTCTTTCACTGAGCCAAACTGTTCGTCCTATCAACTTTAAACTATGGTGACAACACGTGCAAATGAGAAAGTTTTAAAACTTATCCAGCTGTAGATACATGGTAGAAAGTCACATATTTTTCCTCTAACTGCTGGATGTCCATAACAGTCATCAGCATTAAAAAAACACTAGTAACAATTCTGCAAGCCCAATCTAACATCTGTCTTACATCTGAAATCCATGATCCCTGATTTTCAGTAGTGTTTGATTATTATACCATGACAAAAAAATATTTTGCTGACGTTTGATTACATCGTCCTTGTTCCAGATGCTGAATCTGTTCGTGGCCGTCATCATGGACAACTTTGAGTACCTGACCAGAGACTCGTCTATCCTGGGGCCACATCACCTGGACGAGTATGTAAGGATATGGGCCGAGTACGACCCTTCCGCCTGGTGAGTGGCACAAACACAATCATACACACCTGCAGTAGAATGACACGAACCAATACAAAGGCAGAAACACATATGAAGTAGCAAATACACAGACATACAGACGGTATTATAAAAAGATGACATACACACAGTGCTGATGTGTAATGTAAAACGTTGGCAAACATTAGATGTGTCTACACATGTTTGGACGGTCTATTGCTGAATGTAAAGTAACTCTTAACCCTTGACTTTCTCTCCTGTCCCAATTGGGGCAAAGACTGGTGTCATGATCTCATCCAAGAAGTGTTGTGATGAAACAGAATCCACATCACGTGATGATAGGTGTTAAAAGTGGATTAGTTAAAGCTGGCCTGTCTGAGTTATCCAGCTATATCCCTGTCTTCCTCTCTCACTTTCTCTCTGAACCTTTCTGCCTTCTTTCTCTAATTGCACAATGTGTGCACAGTTGAGATAAATGTAACCCTCTCCTCTTCTTCTCCCCCCCTCTGTAATTAGTGTGTGTGGGCATGCATGAGAGGAAGGTGTCTTACATCGATTTTTCTCAGTATAAATAAATGCTCTCTCTTCTTCTACCTTTCTTTTTTCTTCTTCTTTATCATCTTATCTCATCTTTTTCTAACTCCACTCTCTTTCTTTCTTTCTTTCTCTCTCTGTATTCTGTGTGTTCCCTCACCTAACCTCCACTCCTTGTATTTTTCTTGCAGCGGGCGCATACATTATAAGGATATGTACAGTTTATTGCGAGTTATCTCCCCTCCCCTGGGCCTTGGCAAGAAATGCCCACATAGGGTGGCCTGCAAGGTTTGGACCAAACCCCTAAAGCACAAACTTAAACGCAACCTGCTCGCCTTTAAGAGACTGGAATGAATGTCGCTCTTTATCACTTTTAAAACAAATTCTTTCCTACTTCAACTTTTTATTTCATTTGGTTTGTTTTTTCTGTTTGGGTTTGCATTATTAAGTTCTTTTAATCCCATTTCACCATTGAATCATTTCTTTGGGGGGTTTCTGTTGTATATGCATTCTGACATGACAATGAGAATGTTTGGGACAATGCAGAAATGCACACACACACTCTTGTACACACTCACACACACCAGTAGCGGTGTGTGAAGCATGAGGTGGTGCACTGCACTCGCTATTGTCTTCTGACTGAACGCTGGGAAAATGACACTGATTTGTTCACTTTTAATTCAGTATTATGTTAACACCAGAGTCTAGACTCCAGTCAGCCATTGTCTTTTATTTCTGCTTGCTGTCTAATTTTGCCTGGGCAGAAAATGGTCGAGCAATGTGCATTGTTCTTGTTTGAGTTGGGTTTGGGTGAGGGAGGTGGGGTTACTTTAGTACAGAGACATATGCAGAGAGGGCTTGGTCTGAATACTCACCACAGCTCAAGAGAGACTTTGCTTATAGTCACTCACACAGCTAATTTGCCTAAAACTGCTAATTATTGTGCCTCCCTGACACATGTTATGAAACACTATGCTAAGGTGTGTGTAATATTTAATTTTAATAAAGCCACTGTGTGTAGATGTTTTATAGAATCTTATCCTAATGGCTTATTTATAGAAAAAATGTAACAATCCTTGTGAAAAAACATACATCCTTTTTGATATTACAACTGAAGGTCAGATTTTTTAAAATCCTATACATAGTGGCTTTATTATTGTAATTATTGTAGTGTAAATTATTGTAAGACCTGTTACATGCTCTTGATAAAAACACACAACAACCCAAATAGCAATGCACAGGGTGAGCAACGACCAGGGAGGAAGTCAAATATACAATTTCTCATCTCGCATTCTCAACCCACTGGAATCTACTGTAGCTTTTATTTTATTTTCAAGGAACTCTTTTGTGTACAATAAAACCAGAGGTTCATTCTCTTTGCCAATTTTTGTGGTAAATACACCAGTCCCAGATCACATTGATATTACTTCCCCTCTGCGCATTTGTTATGTAAGCAGAGAGCTTGTGTATCCCACATGCTTGTGTTGGCACACCTTGAGTGGAGAATGTAACAGGCCTTATGGAGCAGTTTATAATCAATGTCACATGAAATACTAAAATATTATGGCCAAACCTGCTCTGTTTGTGGCTCTGGTATGTGGGAAAAGACGGAAAGGGGCAGGGTGTGTGTGTGATTTGGGGCAGAAACTCTGGGCATAAAAAGGTCTTGTGTCCACCAGGTACCTCTTAAGAACTTCCTGTGTCAATAGATGCTTGTGGGAAGAATTGTTGGTCATGACATCTGCGTTTGCTTTGTGACTGTTAAGATCTTTTTAAGGTGCTGCAGTGTTTTGTTTAGGCATAAGAAATTGTCAAAGGTTCAGTTCACCCATATCATAAAAGAAAACATCTACTTACCTCTACTTACCCCTGGTGAAATGTAGCCGTGCACATAGTTTCAATTGTATATGCTGAGACATTGGGTCCCAATACACACACTTGCTACAATGTATTTGCAATAGTAGTCAAACGCCTTATTGTGTGACATATTTCTGGTAAATACCACAGTGCCTATTAAAACTGCTGGAGTATTTATATTTCTTATATTTATGTTTACATAGTAGTATTTATATAAACTGGAAGAGGCTCAGTATCATCCGTAAATCATTACCGTTATAATCAAATGAAAAATGAATAGGGGACTCAGAACCTGAGAGGAGTAATAAAATTATTGAGGCAATTAAATTGAGTTTTGTGGAAACAGATAGGTCTATTTTTTATTATTTACTTCTATTGTCATTGAACTTACTGTAAAAAAAATAAATAAATAAATAAAAAAATAACCTGCACCATCTGCCGCTGGCTGCAGATTTGTGGCTCTGTTTGTTCACATGGTGCCACTCTACACCATCCAGACAACAATATAATTTTCTCAAGAAGCGTTTTTCCATTTTTGTGGAGCTGTTGGTAATACTTCACAGTAATTTGGCTCCGCTGTTTCAGAGCTCTGAGACCAGTAGTGTAACTAGCTGAGATTCATTAATCTCCACACCCTTTTTATTTATATTTCATCCAGCCCTTTTGCGCTTTTCACTGCCACACCTACACGCACCAAAATAGAGCGCTTGGACACATCCACACGGTCTGAACACTTTGTCGCTGTTGCGCTTACCTGATTAATGTGGAACTCTAGTCCCATTGAATCCTTTCACAGCGAGGTCTGTGGATTATCGTGAGACACTGTTTCGATGCTGTGAGCGTGATAAATTCTATTTAGCTCCATTGTAACTGAAGCGGTGACAGAAATCTCAGAGTAGTGCATGTGAAACCCAAGGCACATAAAACTGAAAATATCTGCATAGCTACAGTGAGGGGGAAACTATTTGATCCCCTGCTGATTTTGTACGTTTGCCCACTGACAAAGAAATTAAAAGTCTATAATTTTAATGGTAGGTTTATTTGATCAGTGAGAGACGGAATAACAACAAAACAAACCAGAAAAACGGTGACCATTAAAATTATAGACTGATCATTTCTTTGTCAGTGGGCAAACGTACAAAATCAGCAGGGGATCAAATAGTTTTTTCCCTCACTGTAGGAATCACAAATGGTAAGTGATTGAACATATTTTTCTGATGAGGGTGAATTGACCTTCTAAAAGCCAAGACCTAGCTGTTAGCACCGTTGGGGTCTCTCAACCCTTCCTGTCATCGTTAGGATGGGCTCCCATGAACATCTGGAGGTGCAGCTGTGAGCCGAGGTTCCTGGTGGACACCCAGCCTCAGTAACGGACTGCATTGACTTGTCATTGTGACTCACTCCGATCTCTGCAGCGGTGCTTTTCTTTGCCTGCTAGAAGCCCCGCTGCCAGTTCTATCCGAGCGGCGAAAGAGGGCAAAGACTAAAAAAATCCCAAATCCCCTTTTCACCTCGCATAGAACGGTATCTCAACGGTATAACAACAACTAACTAAACTGAATAACACCTCCTCCTCCAACCCTCCCCTCCTTCCCCAACCTTTCTCCCTTCCCTCCTTCCTTTCCTCTCCCTTACTTTATGATATACCAGACTAGAAGCCACGTAACACACCCCCTCGTTCTCTCTCTTTCACTTTCTTTCTCACTTTGTCTCACCACAGCAACCACATATCCACAGCGATAAAAACAATAACCTCTGTGTATTTGTTTCCCTCCCTCTTCCTTTCCTTTGTTGGTGACTTTCTTTTTTCTCCTCATGTCTCCTCCTCCAAACACACCTCTGTACCCCCCCCCCCCCCCCCCGGTTTTCCCTTTCCCTACTCCTCATTGTTTTTCTTTATTTCGTTTCAACGTCGTCCGTCTTTGTATGTTCTGTCTGTCGTGTGTGTGTGTGTGTGTGTGTGTTGGCGTGTGGGTGTTTGAATGCATGTGCGCATGTGATATGTGTGTGTGTGTGTGTGTGTATTTGTGGACACCCCAGCGGCCGGATCAGTTACACAGACATGTATCAGATGCTAAGACACATGTGTCCGCCGCTAGGCCTTGGGAAGAGGTGTCCCGCCCGGGTCGCCTATAAGGTAGACTCGCCCCCCACCTTAACCCACCACCCCCCTCAACCACCACCCCACCTCCTTCTGTCCCTCCCTTCTTCTCCCATCATTCCTTTCTTACCTCCTTTTTCCCCTCCCATCTTCGTCCTTTAACCTCCCCATCGCTGGGGAGGAGAACCTCTCCTCTCATACCTGCTGAAATCTCCCTGTTCCTTTCCTCCTTCTCCTCGTTTCCCCTTCTCCTCCACCTCCCTCTTTCCCTCCTCCCAGCGGTGTTCTCCTCATTGTCTGTTAGTGGTGGTTGTGGTGGTGGTGAGCGCTGTCCTCTCTTCTCTCTCTCCGACCGCGGGGATGGAGGATGGGCTTTTGTCGTGCAGTGAAGTGAAGTGATAGTGGAGTGGTAGTCAATCCTCTTTCTTTTATTTCCTCTCGTCAGGCCGCAGGAGTAAGGGAACGGAGGAAGCTTTGCGAGTCCTTCTGCAACCTGCACGGACGCATGCACGCGCACATACAAGCATACAACCACAATCCAGTCAGAAAAACATAGAGAGAGCACAGATCTGACAAAGAATTTCCCTTTTTCCAAACAAATTAAGGAACTTTTTTAAATTGATGTGTGCATATTTTACTGCTTCTTGCGGTATAAGTACTGTTGTAACATTAATATTTTTAGAATAAATTACAAATTTAAGGCAAAAAAATGTATACAACATATATATAACGTATAAATTAAAGATATTATTGGGTCCACATTTTCTCATTATGTGTTACAAGTATGATTATTTGCACTACATTTTTAAAATGACATCCTGTAAATGACGCCAATGACCCCAGGACAACCAATTGCTTGTGGTAATTAGTGATATTCTATGTGAGCATATATATGGAATTATGTATGCTAAAATGTGAAAAATATATAGCTTACACAAGCCATTGCTTCACACTAAGAAACATAAATAATTTGTTCATGTGAAAATTCCTAGTGTGGAGGGGAACAACATCTAAAGTGAGAATATTTTAACCAGGGTTGTATTCACACAGTGCAACTATTTGCTTACGATGCAGGTACAGAAGGACCGGCAAGGGTGTCTGTCTTCAGTCCTCTGAGTCTCTTATTCCTGTGGATGGCACTATAGTGCACACATAACACATGCCCACATTACCACTCACACACACTGTGCACATACAAAAGATAATAATGCATAATAAAATCAGTAGGAAAACTGCTGGACCGTGTAGTTTTTTGTCTTTTTTCAAGATGATTTTTTGACACCCAAGGAAACCAGTGTCTTTGGCTTCTCTTTGTGCCTCAGACTACCACTGTAACGATTTTGGTCGAGTATTTCAGCATCCGCTGTCTCTTGTTGTGTCCACTCTTTCTCTCCACCTCAGTAGAGTCCAACTCTTTCTATGCTCTCTGCCAATCTCTTTCTTAGTGACATCCAGATTCACCAAAATAGTATTGAAAAGACGATTTGAGTTGCTTCAGCAAAGAGTTCTTATAACATTGCTGATCATGTTTGTTTTGCCAAGAAACTCTAAAATCTTTGCACCCAAAAAGCTTTTAGAATTGGAACTTTATTTTTTAAATTTTTTTTAACCTTAATACAAAAATGATACTCATGTAAAATTGTCTAAAACTGGCTATATGTTTATTTAATTCAGGAATTATCTTTATTATTATTTGACTAGACAGTCAATGACACTCAGCCACTACAGTTTTTACTTAATTGGTGCTATGGACAGAGAGTTTTGTTTGTACCAATCAAGTATTGAGGTTTGATTCCCAGTCTTAGACAGAAATCCCTCTCACTCACAAGTGAAAATATTCCTTTGACTGGCACCTATATATAAGCCTGCTGTTCATAGATGGTGAGTTAACAGAATGATTCTGATCAAATATTGCAAACTCTCCAAACTGCTAATCCTTTATTGAATCTGGGTGTCAGTACCCAATTCACCCTGTCTCTCTTTCCCATTTTTCTCACTTTTGTCCCTTTCCTTCTTTTCGCCTTTCTTCTCCTTTTTCTCCTGTTTTGCTCTTTTCTTCTCTGTCTTTTCCTACGTTTTGCCCTTTGATCTTTTTTCTCATTTTTGTTGTTCTTTTTCCTTTCCTACCTGTCAACTTTTCCTCTCTCTATCATTCTTCTGTCCTTCTACCTCTACGTTCACTTGTCTGTCGGCATTCAACACCCATCTTCATTCCTTCATAGCATCCCTCCATCCATCCAAGCCCGCTCTGTCTCTATCTTACCTCTCCTCTTTGTTATTATTTTTCTTTTTCTCCAGAATGTCAACCTGTATTGGCAGTGGCCCTCATCACATACTTCAGCCATCAAAGCCTTCCAGTATTCATTGAAACAGTTTCACAGAAAAAGTCCACTAAAGGACGATTTGAGATCAGAAAGGCCTCGTGTTTTTGTTTTTTTCAGAATAGAGAGGGGAAGGTTAGACATCTTGAACCTTTTTGACATTGATTACTCTTAATGCTTAGACAAAGTTCTGGATCTTCCCTTTAGTGGACAATATGCTACTGGAAAAAGTAGTTTTGAGTAATGTGTATCGCTATGACACCTTGTTTTTTTAACTGACCTCTCCTCAGTAAACTTATGTCAGTGTTGTTTTTAGTCCTCGTCTTTATCTCTTGTCTTGTTTTGTAATTTCCAGCCTCTCTCTTCTCTTTCCTTTCTATCTACACAAACACATACACATACACACACACACACACACACATTCAGTTCTTCTATCTGTTAATTGCAATTGACCCATGTTTTCTTGATTCCTTTTATACTCTTTCAGTGTTTTCACAATCCTCCTCTCCCTCCTCATTCTCGCCCTTCCCTTTTTATCTGTAAATACATCTCATGACCAAGCTTAGAGTCGCCTAGTTTAACTCAACTAATGGCTGTCCCTACCATGTGTCCCCTTTGATAGACCCCCATTCCCTTACCCTGAAGTACTACTACTAGAAAGTCTGGTTGGTCCAAAACAAAAACAGAAAGAACTTCAATCATCTCTTTTTGATCTTCTCTATGATTTTTTTCTTCTTTCAGGGAATGCCACAACTCTAATCCTCTCTAACTCTTACAACCCCTTAAGACACTGCACCCGTTTGGCATTGAGAGAGATCTTGACTTGATATGAAGTACTACCATCGCTGTCCAATTTGACTTTGATTACGGGAACCATGATTGTAAAAATGTGCATAGCGAAAAAAAAAAAAAAGATAAGAAGAATCTGTCAATCAGTAGGATCAATCCAGTTGGATTGAGGATACTCTCTTTGCGCGGATGCACGGCCGCTTGTATTGTGAAAGTGGGTTTTGAGGGAAGTCGGGTGGGTAATGGGTAGGTGGGAAGAGTTGCAGCTTAGATAATGGGAGTGAAGTTAAGGCATGTTGCATGCTCAGTGTGTCCTGGTTTGTGGGATTTTTCTAGGGGATGTTGTGTGGTGCATGCAGTCCTTGCACTCTCTGTCGCATGGCTATGGGCGACATCGAGCCTGCCTGTCTGCCTGCCGAGCGCTGTGGATGTTGGTCCATGCCCTCTGCCTGCCGCGCACTTGGCTTTGGACATGCCCAACACTCGCACACACTCAGGAACACACGAGCACGTACACAACCCCACCGCCATTGTGCTGCCGTGCTTGCCATCGTTAGTGCCCAACGCTCATGTTCGTAGGTAAATCTGATGGATGCCAACTGGTCGAGATAGGAACGGCAAGCAGCCCTAGCTGGCCCAGCTTGTTTCGTTCTATCCGCAAGTTTCTCCATTGGTTTTACTTGGTATAGACATGTAAAGACAGGGAACCTCCTTACAGGTAGGGGGAGCTCTATAGCAGATGCCTCAGTTTAATGAAACAACAGCAGTCTCCTGTTAAATTGCAGAATTACTCCAGTGATACTGTTTTTGTTCTCTAGTCAACCTATTTTGTCTCCAAAGGACTCCAATTAAGTACCCTTAATTGCAGTCTGTGCAAATAACTGTGTGTAAGTGGGTGGGAGGGGGGGTTGGTGTATGTGTACTGTTATAAATCTATATGTGTGTAACAACAGAGATGTGTAAATGCGCCAATGCATTCACACATTTAGGGAACATGGGCACAGGTTGGGTCGGAGGCTATTTTAGCTCCGATTGTTCTTCCTTGTGGTTCTCGGCTCTCACAGTTGCTTAGCAGCAGGTGGCCCTCATTGGATAGCTGTGCTGTCTTGTAGAGTATCATTGGAAAAACAGGAGACTCAGTGACTCGCCTATTCAATTCTTTCCTGAAGCAAATGTTCTTGTAGTTGCAAATGCATGCACTAGTAAAATTAATGAAACTGTGCTGCAGACATAACACATGAATGCATTCACTCAATATATTCATTTATCAGAGGACCTGATCAGAAGTGCCTCAAGTGGAAATTCACTGTATTGACTTATTAGGCTACATTGATCAGATCTGAATCTGCAAGAATTATTGTGACACCTAGTCCTCCTTGCCTTAACTCTAAACTGTCTCAGGGAACAATAAATAAAACCCAGGACGAATCCAGTCCAGTTGTAATTGGCTGTTGTCTATGGAGCTCTCTCAACCCCGTCCCCAACCCCTCACCCGCTCCCCTTCCTGGAGGTTCAGGCACACCACACTTTAGCAAGGACACGTACCTTTCTCATCCTCTCATCCTGACTGGCTCTCCACAGAGGCTGCTGCGCATGGATCTGCCAGTTGCTGATGACAACACGGTGCATTTTAACTCCACCCTCATGGCTCTGATCAGGACTGCACTGGATATAAAGATTGCTAAGGGTATGGCCTTATAGTACAATCATCCCTTTACTCTATCTGTTAATTTCAGTTTCTTTCTTGTCTGTCCTTCTTAGGTATTCCTGGGTAATTCATTGGGATGACTTTTGTTTGTCTATTTATCTGCTGCTCTAAATGCTCTAAATTGTAGCAAATGCAACAAAACTAACACTAACAAATTACTTTTTTGTTTTGTGCGAATGTGTACACGCGTGAATGGTTAAAAATCTATTGCCCTTCCTTTTGGTCTGTGCCTTCTTTGTCCTGTGTTTATGCGTGTGGGGTGTTTGTATATGTTTGGATGTACGTACAAATGTTTGATGCGTGTGTGTGGGAACACTGGGTGGCGGGGCTACCCAGGCGGTGCAGACAAGCACCAGATGGATGCGGAGCTGAGAAAGGAGATGATGGCTATTTGGCCCAACTTGTCACAGAAGACACTGGACCTGCTGGTTACACCGCACAAGGGTAAGTTGCAGGAAAGCAGAGCATAGTGGTGTTTGTGTGTCCGATCACCAACTCACCAAGAGGACAGCTTCCACCAGTCAGTGTCATTCAATGCTTCGCATCTCCTGATCAGGCTACAATAGCATAAACACACACATTGTACATATAGTACAAACACATCTGCATATATAAATACACCAATTGAGATTCTGCACATTCATCCGTCCTGACAATTCTGTGAGCCAGAGCAAAATATCTCAACAACTACTGGCTAGACTGCCATGACATTGGGTCTGAAGACTCGTGGGGATTTATAGTGGATTTTGGTGACTCCCTGGCCTGTTGTATAGCGTCACCATGACAGACAACGTGCTACGTCAGTAACTCATTGTTAACTCCCCCATCCAAACAATAGGAGTCACTAGTGTAACGACAAAGACATGACCCATCACTGGCTCTACCACAGTGGAAAGCCTAAGTCTAAACCAGAGGTATTGTTGCGTCACAGGATGTACTGGTAAAATGATTTGTTGTCAAGTCTAGGGGAATTAATTAGCACTAAGCCTTAAGCCAGAGATATACTTGCTTTCAAGTACACGTTTGCGTGTGCATGGCTGCCTTGTGCATCCTGCATCCATTTGGAACGTTGACTGTGCATGTCCTCAGTTATTTACACTATTTGTCCGCAAGATACCATACACACATGGACAGTAGGGGCAGTACGTCTGTGCACGACGGTAAATCACATATGCCATCCATGATGGCGCTGCTGTCGCCTTTTCTGCTGTGAGCCATGTTTATTGTTTACATCATGCAAAATCGGAAGTTCTATACAGTACACGGAGAGTTGTCTGGTGTGCCCTCTAGTGGAATTCTCCGGTGACACAGTATGTGAACAATTCTGTTCACAGTGCAGACAGTTGTCTACACAAACACGTGGTTAAAAAGCAAACATATCTCCTGCTTTAAGGATATACCAGCAACTAACAGGCCACAACCTGTTGAATGACACAACCACAAAGGAGGCCTAGGAATCTGTCTAGAAATTTGGTCCCTACAGCACCTGTGTACCTAGCCCAGTTTTAATAAACTGTGGAAGGGATGGAGCATTTTATACTGGATTCTTGCAAAACAGACAGATTTTTGCATCAATGGTCACACAGTGGCTTTCAAATGTAGATGAATGATGCATCTACTTACTAGTTGAAATATAGTTGCTGCATCATTTGTGTTAACAGATAAACATAGCACACATGAATGCACCATACCATACATGCACTGTAGGTACACCAGAGCACACAAGTCCACCGATACATAGAACACAGCAGAGTGGACACGGCAGCACACACGCCCGCACTGCTGATTTTTACACCCATTCAGTTAGTCCTGGTATCAGGGGGTGCCTGCTATAGAAGATCCTCTATAGAAGTCTTTTCACTACAGGAAAATTGAGAAGCAAATAAACTACTAAAATAGATCTAGTCTACTAAGTTTATATAAGGTGATTGTGATGAATGACCATCTGTTTAGAATACAATTATTTCAATGATTTTAGTGTTAATATGAATACAAGTATAATGATGCATGTTTAGCAATACCTGCAAGTTGTTTGGCTAAACGCATGACAGCTAATAAGGTCTAAGATATGCATTGTCATGTCTTATTGCCCAGTGATATAAAAAGAGAATAAGATATGTGTGATCATATCTTATCATGAGTTAATATAAATTTTGATGCTGGAAGACTTGTAGCCATGCCACTTTGAAAAGGGCACCACTCATGCAGTAAGACAGTTAACTACACAGTGAAGTTATTTGACAACCAAAACAAAGCTCAGTATTTTTCTGATTTTAAATGTTTATGTTTTCCATCCAAACTCTGGGGATACATGTGCAGAGTTTTTAGAAAAAAATTGAGCTCCTGTTTTCCATGGATCATTTCACTGAGGTGTCAAAGGCTTTCTTAATGAGGTGGCTACCTAGTCCTCAGCCTTAGTATAAAGACTAAAGATAAAACATACTAAAGTTTTGATATGGTTAGATGATAATCAAGTATGAGAGAATGTTGACTGATCAGCGATAGGTACAGCATCTGCCTGTGAAAAGACTATTGGCTTTGATGTATTAATAACTGTACAGTGTTGTAATATTATGTACACCAGCAAGTGAGCTCAGCTCTGTTTCCGTTGAGGGGAACATTTAGACAATGTTCCTTTAAGACAACAAAATCATATCCGTTTCTGTTGCGATGAGTATTTTACAAAATGTTATTTGTCCCGTTAAATTGCGTAGTCTGAATGCCCCTTTGAAATTTGGCAATTTCCACATTTATTTGGAGGTAAATAAAAGACCTGCTTTCCATACAGTTCTCAGAAGCACATTGTCAGCGACTTTTTCCTTTGTGTCCCCTTATTACACATATAGGTGTACATAATTGCATTAACTGATTATTTATTGTTAATAAAAAATGTTCAGTTGTTTATTAAAGTGTATTAGCCAATGTGAATGAGGTTTTGTGTGCACACAAGCATGAAAGTAGATATGTTTGCATTCATGTTATAATGAGAGCAACAGAGAGGTGTAGGCCTACTTTACAGTACTTTGAGCTTGTTAAAAACTAAAATACTTATTTAGTTTTTCATTTTTGCTCTTACAAGTTTTCTTGCTCACAATTATTGGTTACCACTGACCAAATGTTCTGTGATTGAACTTCCCCCGGTCTCTGAAGATGGAAAAAAACAGAACTTACGGAATTGAGAACTGAATATTTGGTTTCTTAATTTTCAGGTCTGTCCCTCCCCCATGAATTGATTGTATGAAACAGAATCGTCCCCACTGCTGGTGTATTCTGCATGTTATTGTGAATTTCTCTGTGTCAGTGGTTTGTGTTTCAATCTGATGTCTCGTCCCCCACTCCCATTCCCCCCACGGCTCAGGGTCCCATCCCACCCCGGTCTAATCTTGCAGGGTAACTTGTCATTTTCTCAGCAGCCACAGACTTGACGGTGGGCAAAATCTACGCCGCCATGATGATCATGGAATACTACCGGCAGAGCAAAACGAAAAAGCTGCAGGCCCTGCGAGAGGAACAGGTAGACCCAGAGAAATTCCGTGTATGCAAAACGACAGTCTTTTTTCTCTTCTTCCTCCTCCTGGCCTTCTTTTTTGATACCGCTTCCACTAGCTCTTGGACTGAGTTTTGCCTGTTTTCTGCCAAATGTGGATTTAAAAGCATGAGAACCATATCTTATACGTTTAAATCCTTTATAACTCCCAGTTACACTTACAGACAAACCCCATACTTCCCTCTCAGCCTGTGCTATTTCCTTCATTAGCATGCTACCTGAAAGTCTATCCCCTTTTTCAAGCACCTTGTTGCTCCCTTGGTCAACCTTATTCCTTTTAAAATGCTTGCAAACAGAGGTATCTGTTTCAACTTTTCTTTGTCTTTTCACCATGGGCTGTTTGAACGTGGTGTTACAAAGGTTTACCAATTTACAACTATGTTTTTTGGTGTTGGTAATGTTCTGAACAATTATGTTAATGATGATACCACATGGCCTTACCTTTTGTTCCATGTCAGTGCTCTTCCCCTCCTGTCGATGAATGCTTTTGAGATGCACTCGCTCCCACTATCTCTGTTTTTCAGTCCACCCTGTGGGCGTGTAGAAACATCTCTCCACTCATGTAATACCTCCTGTTCACTCAGCAAGACATTAGTTGGTTCAGAATTTGATACTAAATTTTGCCGGATACAATAAAGTCCACATTTGCTCATGGATAGCCCCGACCATGTTGTCTGAGACATATCTTCTGAAATGGGATTTCCATTTTGCAGAACAAAGGAGTGCATTGTTGGTTGGAGAGTATGTTAGTCTTTTTTTCTTTCGAACAATGCGTCCCTGCAAATACAGTATGTGTTGGTATGTTCCCGAATGCAGCCATCCCATTGGACTGAATAGACAGGTCCACACAGGCTCTTTCAACATCAGCATTACACGAAGACTTTAATAAGTCTGTGTCTGACAACTTGCCATCGCTACAGTATCTCACTTCACTTCTTCTTCTCTTCTTCTCTTTCTCTGTGGTCTCCTGTTTTTGTAATGTCCTACCACTTTAAAGGAAGAATCCACACAAAAACATCCTAACACTGTTATAAAGGTTTTGCTGTTTGATGATCACAAATCATCATTCTAGTCAATGTCTTATCATGTTGAGATATTTACAGTAAAGCTACAATGAAGTTTAATAGCAGATTATTTCTTGGTTACCTGAAACATGAAGTTGGTCTTTGATACAATGGACAAAGATCCATATTTCTCTCTCAGAAGTACCTTCAACAAACAAAAATATAATGCAGCAATAACACCTGGTGTCCACATGCCCACCTTTGAAGCAATAATGGTAACTACTATACCTATACATGTTAATAAAAAATACAACATGTTATAATATAGCTTTAGTATTATTACTATAAAGTCATTATTGCAGTAACTGACAATACATATGGTGGTGGTATGCCTCATTTGTATCACACATGTGGATTAAATATAACAGTATCTCATGTATTGAAATGAAAGCAACATTTTGGCAGCAAAGACTGAAAGAAATGCAACAGAACTGTAGTCCTTGCCAACAAGTATTTGGTATAAATTATGGAGATCTTTCAATCAAATGGGCTACGGAAAAGGTGCCAGAAAAACGTTTGAATCTGCTGAAAATCTTTTAAAAGAACAGCACCAAAAGACCACCATCCTGTTTTTTCATGTTAGTTTTGGCCAAGGAATTGGTAGTGTGATATTTTTTATATTTGCACCTCCCAAACTTAAAGCAAAAATGCAAATTAAAGCAATGTATGGAAAAGGCTGTACATTAAATCAGAAAATTACTCCCGTTCTGATTATAGCAGTGTAAGAGAACCAGGGAGTGGATTTTTTCTTTAACTCCTCATTTCTCGTGCTTGTCTCTCTCCTCCTCCGTTACTCCTCCGTCTGTGTATTCCTCGTGCCTAGTTGAGTTTCAACTGTCCTCCTCAGTGTTTGTTGAGCTGTTATTGTGTCTCAGATATTTTGTTGTTTCCTCTTTGTCTGCTGTTTGTCATTCTTCGCTGTGTTTTTTTCACTGTTATCTATAGTCCGTCGTTCCTGCCTTCCATGCCGTCTCTGTCCTCTGATGCGCTCCCTTTATCCTTCCAGGAAGAGATGAGATCTTGACTTATCAAGCTCTCGTTATTTGGTCAATCCAGGTTGATTGTCACCAAGTTGCTCTAACCAAGACCCATTCTCTCCAGTCTGTGTTCATGAATCTGTCTGTTTGCTGTCTGCTGTGGTGGTTGGTGGGATGTTGAGTGGAGGTTCCTGTGACCAGTGCGCCGTATGTAATCAGTCAATCCATTCATTGATAAGTAGGCCAATGCTGAAACATACTTTATCAAAGCCAGTGTCTGTGTTAGGTGTTCATGTTTTCGCCATAATCCATTGTACCATGAATTTTCTCAGGGTGCATCACTGGAGTTAGCCAGTGCCAAACCAGACTGTCCAGAGACGAACTTGAGCCATATACCTCCCATAGCACAGGAGATGGTGACTGGACAGGATAAGACAAAATGCTGACAGGCTCTAAAAGGCAGAATTGATGTCACTTGTTCAAAGGAGGACTTTGAAGGCATTCAATTGACACAGTGCACACACTGGCAGCCATATTGGTGGACCATAGCTCTGCTGAATCTGCTGATTGCTAACTAAATGTCTAAACAAACAACTTGAAGGCCTCAGCAGAAGTCAGAAGTCATGGTAAATTTCTGAGCTTTTTTGACCAGGAATTGATATTTCATACACTCATTACAGTCTCCAGATTAGATAGATAATGTCGCCATTTAGCACCTCCATGATGACAAATGATGGATTTGTTATTACCACTTTCACCAGCCAAATAATCAGTCTTTCTAAAGATCTGTTTGACTGGTAAAACTGTAATTGTCTTTGAAATGTTTTGTAGTACATTGTAGCCAGACGAGTTTCTTGTCCAGCACATCAGCCTGATGTCTCAGAGGAGGTTTGGACATGTATCTGTTTCTGGACAGGCCTCGATCCATCTGCACTCATTTAGCATTCAGCCTTAAGCTTCCAGGCTGTGGAGGGACATGACACAGGCTGTAGCAGTCATGAACCATCGCCTTTAAGATACTCTTAAGAGGACTCCATTACCCAGGATCCCCTGGGAGGAAAACTGCCTGACCTCTGATCTGATGGAAGCAGAAGTTGCTTTTTAATACAGCTAGTTCAGGATCAGATGTCTACTTCACACAAAATGGCACATTACTCAAAAAAATCTTGGCAGATGAAAGATCACACATTTTCAAATGATGATTTTTGAGTAAAATCTGTTCTTGATGATGTGTTTGATGATGTATGGTAATCTGGTCCAAGACCTGTGATTTAAGAGCAATCTTATCTCAAATGCCTAAGGTAGAAGTTCCCCTCTGACACAGATCTGAGACCAGCTTTCCCTCCCTGAACAAACTGATATAAAGGAAAAAGTCAGTTAATTTGAATACCAGCAGTGTCCCTTTAAATGCTTGTTCAGTGTGGGTAGTAGATCTCAGATCAGTAGTCTGGCAGGAAACTTTACCTTGGATACCCACAGCCATGTGCTTGCTGATGGCGCCCCCGTGTGGGTGCATGCTGCGAGTGCATCCTGTGTTTGTGTCCTGTGTCTGCCCCTTGAGTGTGCCTGATGCCAGCCTGCAGGCCATGTCGTGTATCTCACACAGAACCGAACGCCATTAATGTTTCAGCGCATGGAGCCACCCTCTGAGGGAGGGGGCACGGATGGCCAGGGGGGCCAAGGCCTGAACGGCCTCCCCAACACCCAGCCGGACAACCTCAACAGCATGTGAGTAGACTGGGCACGGGTGGGAACCCATATGCAGTGTATTACAACCAAATAAGACAGCAGGAAACATAAGTACTTGCACACAAATATTTCCTATAGTTATCTATGGATGTACATTTTGTAGTAAATTATATGCTAATATGTACACATAACAATTAAAAATTTGGCCCTTGGTCAGATTTTTAGAGGCATCTTGCTTTCAAGGGCAATGTTTTTTAAATGTTCCATAATATATTAGGAAAGTAACCTGGCAAAAAATGTTACATTTTCATCAACCTCCGGACCTCAGTTGCAGAATTTTTTCCAATATTGGTTACTATCGAAGCAAGGTTAAATCAAGGGCAACTGGACTTGGTTGAAGATACTTGAAGACATTTTGCCTCTTAAAGAGGCTTGGTTGCTGTAGATTTTGTAGATGTAGTAGTTTTGTGGTGCACTAAACAGTTGCCACACTAAACAGTTGCCACTGTCTCAGGCTGAATGTTTTGATTTTTTACAAATTGTAAACCGTCATCACTTTTATGTGTAAACAGTGGACAACAATTAATTAACATTAAGTTGAAGGAACTTTCTAATTTAAGACATTTTTTTTTTTAATTTAAATTAAAGTAAAGTGTTTGTTGTGACTACATTTATGTTTCATATCTGAATGAAAAGTTGAGTGAATTGAAGGTAAACTGACTCAACTCCCATACAGTACAGTATAATACATATATACTGCATCTGTAGTTATTACTTGGCTTTGGGTGTATTTGATCATGTTTTTCAATTATTTCTTGTTGTGTGTCAAAGTGTGTGTGTGTGAGAGAGAGAGAGAGAGAGAGTGCTTTTCTGTTTAGCTTACTCAGGTTTGTCCTGTGGAAAGTACTGTTTATCAGGGTGAAATTGAGCCAAAATGGCACATTTGTTTAAACATTTACAAATGTCTGTTTGTGTCTGTGCATGTATGAGAGTGTTGAGTTGTCAGTTGATGGGAGGTGAGGTTAATTTAGTCTGTAGAAACATACTGTAACATTTTATAATGGTATAGTTAGCTTGAAGGAGGGTTACAAAGGAAAGGTTAGATTATTATTATTTCTTCTTTTTTTTTTTAAACACTCAAAGTGTCATTTTGCACAATAAAATGAATCTGCAGAGAAATTTAACAACACGCGAGAAACAATGATTAGATTAAATCAGCTACTTGACGTTGGCGTATGACTGCTAGTCATCTGTGAATTTCTTTAGTTGAAGACATTCCTGATTTGTAATCCCCTGACTTGTGTGTATGTGTGGGTGCCAGACCTCCTGAGGGTGGCATGACTGAGAGCCAGTCGTGGGTGACGGCCAAGGCCCAGGAAATGTTCCAGAAGACGGGCAACTGGAGCCCCGACAGGCCCTACCCCGATGATCTCCACAACAACCGTCACAACCCGCAGGTATGACAAGCACAAACTCACATGTCGTCAGCATGGTAACACACCAATTCAAGCCCGAACATGTTCTCCACTCACGCAAACAGTTTGTCCCCAATCACACTGGTTACGTTCAGGTCAAGACTCCTTCAACAGTAGCTGAGTATAATCAATAAAGTCTTCAGCAGGTAATTTGTTAGCAACAAATTTAAAGATGCTGGTGGGAAACATTCCTCAGGTTTGTTGCGGTGCATAGATCAAAAAACAGTTTGAAGCATCACATTTATTACACAAAACCTGAGATTATTTCATTCATGTAATTGTAAATACTAAAAGTGTGAAAACAGCAATCTCCACTGCTTACCATACTAATTCCTACAGTATGTAGGCCTAGTTAAAGCTCAGAGCTTTTTTTGCCAATGAAATTCATAAACTGAATTTTTTTTTTTATTCCTCAATGCCAATTCTTAAATAAAAGTATAAATAATCTAAACCTAGATATCCACACTATCTGCCCTCTGAATTTATCAAGCTCTGGAGAGTCAGAGCTTAAATATAGAAGTGTAGCCTTTGTGTGGAAGAATTAAAGAAGTCAAATTAAAGCCATTGTTGTAAGGTGAGTGACGCTGTGGAAACAAGAGAAAAAAATTTCTTTGCTTCTTCAGGTAAGTATTTTATTCCAAAGTTTCTGATTCATAGCTAAACTCACAAGTGGTGGGCATTTGAGGGGTTAAAGATGATCAATGTGAATCCATGGGGCCAAATGTGTTTCTAATTGGAAAGTTATAAGAACTCCATCTCAATGCTCTGTTTGAGTGTCCTTGTTGAGAAAAAGACTGAGAACTGTTAGTCCTAAATCTGCTGCTTCATCCCTAACACCATGTTCATAGCAATAAATTAGTTCAGCGTTGAACTCTTTTCAGTATCTGACTGCTGGATATTGCTGCTACTACTCCAGCGTTCAAGACTGTAGTGTCTCTCTGTCCTTTGAGCTCTTCTTTTTTGGAACCTGTCTCTTTCTTCATCTTCCTGCTCGACGTCCACATCTCCCGTATTCTCTTAGTCTTACCATCTTTCTATTCCTTGATTTTTCCGGTTCACTTTTCAGCATCCTCTTGAATCAATGGCTTGGAGGTGGTAGATGTGTTTTGTGACCTACACCTTCTCCTCCTAGCTGCCCCTTACTTTCACTTGTCTGTTGGGACGTCCCTACTCCCCAGCCCCTCATCTCACTCTTCAATCCCATGACTAATATACTAAAATGTATTTGAATTTGGAATTGTGTCACATACTCTTTGGAAAGAAAAGGCTGATATTTAGGAATATACGTTCTTTAGTGATATTTTTTTTTCCCCAGATTTGAACCTTCGGATTGGCAGTTTTATGGCAGAAAGGTCCCAGTGTTTTTAAAGAAGCTTTTCTCAATGGTCCGTATCTGGTTTCAGAATTACAGGAGAGTAAATATACGCACATCACGTAGGTGCAAGGCCGTCAGAAAACAGTGTCAATGAAAAAAGGTAACCCCCTGCACACTTCTTCAATTGCACAGAAGTTTAATAATGACAACATTTTAATCCTTCTTGCATCTTCATTCTGACCCGATGAAGATCCGATTAGGATTGTAACATTGTCATTAGTAAACTTAGTGTACTTTGAGTATTGAGTAAGTGTGCAGGCATTAGCTTTTGTCATTGACAAAGTTTGGTTTTGTGCCACAACCCAGAATGAGCATTCACAACACTATAGAGAGTCATTCGCTTCCTGCCCATGGGACCTTATTTCGGAAAAAATATGTATGGCGAGACTTATTTTTTGATCCGGTTTGAACCGTGCCCTAATTTACACATATGATGTTTGTCATTTTAAAAGATGATTTTGTTTATCAAGAAAATTTCAGTTCAATGAGCTACATCTTTCGTCTTGCACGATATATTGTACGTCAGCAACATGTTAACGCTGTAATGCTAGCTAACGTTCATTGCTTGGTTGCTACTAGCTAGGTAACTTAGCTGTGTTCCAAGCAAAAATAGATCTCACCTGATGTGTTTAATCCAACGATTCCTGGTCCTTTTACCACATCATCTGCACATCTAAGTTCTTTGACCTTACAGTGAGGGGGGAAACTATTTGATCCCCTGCTGATTTTGTATGTTTGCCCACTGATAAAGAAATGATCAGTCTATAATTTTAATGGTAGGTTTATTTGAACAGTGAGAGACAGAATAACAAAAAAAAAAAAAAGAAAGAAAAATGCATGTCAAAAATGTCATAAATTTATTTGAATTTTAATGAGTGAAATAAGTATTTGACCTCTCTGCAAAACATGACTTAGTACTTGGTGGCTAAACCATTGTTGGCAATCAGGTCAGATGTTTCTTGTAGTTGGCCACCAGAGCTTTCTTGAGCAGGGGGACCTGGCGGGCACTGTAGGATTTCAGTCCTCAGCTCATTACCCGTGTAAAAGACTGGGAGAAAGAAATCTTTCTGATTGAGAAGGGGTCAAATACTTATTTCACTCATTAAAATGCAAATCAGTTTATAATATTTTTGACATGCGTTTTTTTCTGGATTTCTTTGTTGGTATTCTGTCTCTCACTGTTCAAATAAACCTACCATTGAAATTATAGACTGATCTTTTCTTGTCAGTGGGCAAACGAACAAAATCAGCAGTCATTGAGAGAAGTTACGACGTCACATACGCGATTTTGGGTTTGTGGTTTTTGTAATTATGTATTTTCACAGTGTTATCCATCAACAGTTTTACATCAAACTGCGACTTTCTTGACTTCTAAATGTATATTTTAAATCATCATCATATGTGTAATTCAGAGCACATTTCAAACGGGATCGAAAAATTTGTTGTCTCTTGCCTTTGACTACCGTACATATTTTTCCCGAAATAAGGTCCAATGGTGTTCCACCGGAAGGGGAGGGACTTAGGCTCTCTATACATTAACCCACATTCTGACATTAGAGTAGTGGGCTAATAGACTTAATCTAATTACTACCCACCTCATCTAAATGTTTCAGAACCTCAACATTAACTTAACATAGGTTGCAACCGTTAATTTATGCAACAACAAGTTGCATAAATTAAGACAAAAATGTAGTCCTTTATGCCTGAAATTGAAAAGAAAGACCAAATTGGAACTTAATAAACTTTACTGATACATCATTGAATTTATTTCATTTTCCTACCACCTCGGTTAGCGCCTCCCTTGATTAGTCGACGACACCTCCTCCTGTCAGAGTGCCCTCCCTCAGCAGACAGTGGTCACGCCCCCTCTCATTGTGTTTTACAGACGGTAGAGATGAGGGAGATGGGGCGGGACGGGTACTCCGACACTGAGCCCTATCACCCAATGGATGTGCATGGGCGGACCCTCTCCATGCCCCGCCTCTCGGCAGACAACCAAGTGAGCACCTCCATCCCACCATCATCACCATCATCATCATCATCATTCTCCATTACTATGCCTGTTAGCGGTGTAGACAGTTGAAGTGAATTCAAAAAGTCTCTCTTTGCATTCTGAACAGGGAAGAGAACCGAGTCTGAAATAAACCCACACCTTCTAGTTTAAATCCCAAATATGTGTTTGTTTTATTACTTTTTTTTATATTTAGTCCAAATATATTTAACAGAAAATATTCAACAAATTATTTTTTATGTGTTTTTTTTTCACTACTCTAGTCTTCTGCATGGGAAACATGGTTCACTTCCTACAAAATGTTTTGCCAGGATGCAAAGAAGCAATTAGACTTTTGTAAATTCACCTCCCTCTGTCTGGCCCCCCTTTCCCTCCCTTCCTGCCACCATACCTCCACCTCCTCCTCCCTCCCTCTAACCCGCCACTCATCCAGCAGCCGACCCACCACTGTTCAGCTTCAAGAGAGCTCCTCTCTGAGCAGTACAGTGAAACTGCATGCTGAAATTGGAGCAGCAAGTAACATGGGTCAGAGGGCTGGATAAGTGTTCTAGATTTATATCAAATATATTTCTAGAAGACCTATAAGTATAGAATATCTTATCGCTACCAACCTGATCCTGCTCCCTAATCCATTTCCATTAAATCCTTGGTGTGTCTGTCCTGTGTAAACTGTGGCCAGAGTTAGTGTCTCTCTTCAGCAGGGAAATTGAGAAACAACCACATGGTGACCAAAGATAGATAAACTGTAGGTTGCCACTTCATTGTATTCTGAAATCATTTTATGGACATCTCAGCAGGGACAACTATATCATTGGCTTGCTCAAACTGACTCCCTTAGTTGACTTCTTGGATGTGTGTGGGACAGACGGAGAGCGGTGTAGTAGAAGTTGCTGTAAATCACAGTTTGACCCTGTTGCTGAAGTTTAATAACTATGTTACAATCGAGTGAGGAAAAAAAGTAATTCACGCTTTCAACATTCTGCAAGTTAAGATTTCATATTAGTCAGGGACAGATCGATGTAGACCAAATATTTTGAGAGTTAAATCCTGACTACATGCACTCTGAAATCTGGTCTCAAAAATTTCTCCTGCAGGTTTGGTAGCTTTCACACAGAGAATGTGAGAGGGCACTTTTAACAGCACATGACCTTATCTGGTTATTAGAGTAATATCTTTGCTATAGTTATAAACTCATTTATCTAAATAAAAAAGATGGTGGATAATACATGGATGTAGCCTGTCCACTGTCCACTTCATATTAATCTGTTTAGTTTAAGTTTGCAACGGATATAAACTACCAACTAAAGTGTATGAAGATGGTAAGAAAAGGCAAGCCTACTGCTCGCAACCTGTGGGCGAATTGTTTCAAAAAGTTACTCTATGTTTACATAGATCTTGGGTTCTCTCCCAGATCTAGGGTGGCAGATTGACTACAGTTCGCCATTGTTTAGTGCTTGCTTTGTATTATTTCTCAGTAATGCACTTGGATCATTTTTTATCATCCTGTTTTAAAACAAAATGAGAGGAGTGTTATAATCTATATATATGATATTTAGAAAATAGTTTACTTGGAGGACATGCGGACTTTACTATGAAGCCTCTGGCTGCAGTTGCACACACACTCACACACACATTCATGCATACAAGCATTGCCATACTCCGACATGTCACTGCACCCATGTCATGTTGCTCTCACTTTGGTATGTTGGTTACTCCATGGAGTGTTTTTTTGTAGGAGGATGAGATAGGAGAGCGTATAAGAGAAATGTGATGTCCACATAAACAGATGATGTGTGAAGAAAGTAGATAAGGTGTTCTTACAGTTTCCACTTTCTTAGTATTTTAAGTTTGTAATTTATAAGATGGGGGGTTGATATGTGAGAATATTTTGGAGCTTGTAAAACTTTACGTGTCTGTTGTTATCAGTTATTATATATAATGATGTTATTTAGGCTTCTTTGAACTTGTCCCCTAAAATACACTTAATACACACACACACACACACACATATATATATATATATATATATACATATTATATATATATATATATTATATATATTATATATTCCTACTATACATATATACAGTAAATACCCGTAAAGCTGGCAGTTAGCACATAATACACACATTTCAGTTAGTTTGAGTATGTTTGAGAGCCAACACAGCAAAGGTTTCACTCACAATAGACTTTATATTAGCTATGAATACACTCTTTGTGGACTCTTCTTTTCAAATGGATACGGGAGAATCAGTTATTTTTACTGCTCTTCATACTCCAACACTACCTGACCCGTGTTTGGTGCCTGTAGCTTTTAACACTATTAAAAAAAAAGAATAAAATAAGAATAAGATCAACAATAATAATAATAATAATAATAATACATTTTATTTACAGAGTGTTTTTAATGGTACTCAAAGACACTTCACATATGTTTTTATTCCTCTGGTAATAGTCCTGGAACATACAGTACCAGTCTTGGTATTAATATAAGTAGATGCTACTTTTAAATAATTAGATGTGTATAATATAATTACATACTAACTCAACATAAATAGAGAGAGTCTGACGTGGGAGTGTAGAATGTCTTGTGTGTGTGTGTGTGTGTGTGTGTGTGTTGCGTACACAATATATATGTGTGACTCCATACACTGTTACTTACTGCCTTCTAACACTACTCTGCTTTACAGAGAGCTCATGCTGTTTCGGTAAGTGTGTGTATGAGTGTGTGGATGCGCATGCATCTTACATTGTTCTCTGTCCTCTCTTGCTCACTGGCACACCCACCTCACTCTTATGTGTGTACGCTGGCCTTCTTTAAATTAACTGGGTCCTCTCTCTCTCTCTCTCTCTCTCTGTCCCCCTTTTCACTTATTTTTGTACATTATTTTCCAAATTTTTACCTCTTTTTTAATCCTTCATTTTCTCCTTCATGTCCTACATCTATCTTCCCCCTCCTTCTGTTTGTCTCTCACCTCCTTCCCAAAACATCTTTACGTCCTCTAAATAATCCCATTATCCTTCCTCTCTGTCATCTGTCATTGTTTATCATCAACTACACATTCATTTCTGTCTCTTTCTCTGGCTCTGGCTCTATTGTCTTTCGGTCCTGACGGCTATGCTATGTCGGGTCTATGCTCTGTCTGTGTGTGTGTGTGTGTGTGTGTGTGTGTGTGTGTGTGTGTGTGTGCACTACACTGCTCTGCTCTACGTATCATCTCTGTGTTTGCCTGCTCTGCAGCGGAGGAGACACAGGCCTCGTGGAAATAACCTCAGTGTATGTACCTCTCTCTAGCTCTATCTCTCTCCCTTTCCCTTCCCTCTTCATTCTTCTGTCTCTCTGTCAATTATTTTTCATACTGGATCTGCACTAAAATTTGGGCTGTCTGACAGGTCATCTAAATTTTTAATACTCTCAGAGACTATTCAGTATCAAAGACAATACCCTGAGATCCTGTGGGTGTTCATTATATCAAATCCCATGTTTGATTCTAAATGTGGTCTATATTTTTTCATCAATAGCCATTTAATAGATGTGCATTCTGCAATTGCATTATGTCAGTCTTCAGTTTGTAAAATGCTCACACACTTGGTGCACAGTCCCTATGAGCTTGGGTTTTGTAAAAACATTTCCCCTGTATTTTTATTCTTACCTATTTACATGTGCATATTCACAACACACATTGCCAGTGCTGGATGTAAAGTAAGATACACAGAGTGTCTGAGAAGATGCGTGCAGCAATGCACAGTCAGTTCTTTCCTGTGAGCTTCTCTGCATTTCGACCTACAACAAAATGATAGCCTGGTCAGTAGTTTACTGTTGAAACAACTACAGATCTAGTTTTCAAACGGCAACCGACTGAGAGAGTGAAACCCCTATCATCGGCTCTGACTTGAAACTTTGGCAAGCATTTGCCAGTCAATTACAGATGTTGTGTTCACTGTTGTTGGTTGTATAAAGCAGCAGTGAACACTGCTCATCCAGTGTGTTTTAAGTTCTTTAAACACCAAACACTGAAGGAAACAAACTTTGATTTTGAAAGTTGCCATGTCACAATTATTGCAGTGGGTCCATATTCATGTTCTCCCTTCTTCCCGCGGATAAAGTATTTGCATAACACTTTTTATGGTTTGTGAGGATTTTCTGTTTTGGCAGGATGTCAATTTACTGCAACTTAAAAGAGACACCATCTGAGTTGTGTTGATGCAATGAACCCCACCCACCTGGTACTCCAAGCTCTTTAAAACTGTGGCCTAATTGTCACTATTCAGATCTGCTTTGATCTCTCCCCTTCTCTATCTATCCTGTCAGCCTGTCTTTGAGCTGTGCCAGTCTCTCTCTTTCTTTTTCCCTCTTTCTTTCTCTCTCCCGTGTCTGTTCGTGTTGAGGTCTCTCTGCTCTCCATTGCTTGTTTTCTGTGACGAGAATCCCTGGAGTTCAGCTTGTATGCAGCGTGTGTGTGTGTGTGTGTTCCTTTCTGTGCATTATATGTGCGTTTTAGTCTGTTGCATTGCTGCAGACCTGGTCAACAGTGTATGACGAAAGCATGGACTGGCCTGATGTGCAACTGTTGGCCTGTACGGGGAATTGGCAGCGTGCCGGCATGTCATTAGTCATGCATGGCGTGGCAGAGCTCAGTCTTGCTGTGGATGTGATGGAGAGGTAGTGGTGTACCAACAAGGGAAAGTGTTGCTTCAGCCAAAGGCTGTCATTCAGTAGTCTGAAAGGTAAAGGGAAAGATGGACAGAGTCAGAATAGGGCACTCATAAACCACTTTCTGTCTTAAGTTGGATGACATCATGGTTTATAACTTTTCAGTGCATAATTTGTTACGAGGGGTGTAATGTGAAAATGAATTCACTAAACAGTGCATTTGGACACACAAGTCTCCAGGATCATAATGTTACTGTGATATTGTTAGGATTGTCTGGGTAAACATGTTTTTTTTTTCAGTCTTTTATACCTGTTTAATGTAAAACCCATTGTAACACATCCTTTTCAAGCGTTTGTGTGTATAAGCATAAAAGTGTATGCAAACGTGCAGTACCGTGCTGCCAGCTACCCAGAGGGCGTGCATGTAAGGCTGCTCAGAAAGTGTACAGACTGCTGTCCATGTGTAGTCCAGCTCCACTCAGGACGATGAATCCTCTTGTGTTCGTCTGAATCTTGGTCCGGCCTGCTGCTTGCAGACTGACCTGTGCCTTATCATCAGGGTGATGTGAAGCTTTCTCGTGGTTCAGAGTGTCAGCAGGGTCCTGTCCTGGTCAGAAGAGCCTGATAATGAACCTAGCAAGAAAATCGCACAAGACTTGTTCTATAATACATTATGTAGACCTTAACTAGAGCCAGTTCCTTATATGAGTTTCTGTAATTTACTGTTTTCCTGATGTAATCGAAAGTGTCTTGATTTTAACATGGCTAAACACAACCACTAACAGGTTAGAAATGTGTAATATTTGAGTAAGTGCACTACTTTAATGCAGTAGATTTTTTATACATATACATTAACTTAAAGTACTAGGCAGGTTAAAATAGATTAATGTATAATATAATGGTAAAGGAGTTACTGTAATCCCACATTATCTAGTTAATTGTACAATTTGCCAGCCACTTTTAAAAAGCCCTGACAACAACATTTTGAAAAACAATAATCTATCCTGTAGGATTTTCCTGTTGGGTTCTTGCAAAGCGTTTTGACCAGGCTGTAATGCTACTGAATGTCAGTTTACCTTATCCACCTGGCTGCCATATTTAATTAATGGCATACGCAGTGTTGGGAAGCAGTACATTTATAGAGGAATACAAGCAGTCTGTGGAGAAAAATATATTTAATATTCTCTAAATGTTTGCGATGAGCAGAATAAGAGATGAAACAACTACAAATATCTAAATAAATTAAAGTAAAATTGGATTGAATGAAAAAATATTGTTTATTCATGTGTTAAAATTAAACCTGGTGAGACTTAATTCGTTAATTCAGCTGTCACAAGCTTCTATAGTGTTGGTAATGCAGCAGTGTGCATTCATAGTTGTGCTTTTTTGACATTCAAGTAGAAAATATTTATAATCTGCTAGAATTTACATTGCAATCATTGTTTTAATTATTTTATTTACAAAAAATGTGAGGATAAAGGAGGGAAAATAAAAGTAAACATCTGATGTTGGTTGGTCCGATGATATTCCAACTTCGACATGGAGAAAAATGTTGCTTTCCAACCTGAGTATGATCTAAAGGAAATAAACTTGCCATTTGAAAGTCCAGTAGGCTCCCCTGCCTTGTGCATGTGAGGCATGGTTTCTACGACCCTCTTTCATGCTTGCTCTCTGTCTCTGCCCCCTCCTTCTCTTCCTCTCAGTTCCCTGTTATCTTTCTGTCTGTTTCATTCCTCCATGTTTTGGTCAAGAAGCATGGTATTACATGTGCTTGTCAAAGTAGTTCGTTATTTCAGGTGCTATGGGTCAAGCTATATGAATGCAAAGATTGTAAGCTGATATGTGATTTAATATGATCAAACAGTACTCAGAAACCATTTGAGTGTTTGTTTTCAGATCAGATGGGTGCAGGTTGCCAGACAGGACAACACAAGAACCAAAATGTAGATATTGTCAAAATCGAATTGCAACCTGTGAAAACCTGAATTGTCCTAGTGTGGGTAACCACCACCCACCTAAACCAAGAGCTGTTTGGTACTGCTGTTTGACCCAAGTCACATACTGCCATTCACAAGGCACATATACACACAGGAATGCACAATCTGATGCAGCTCTGTGGTAGTGTCATACACTCATTAAAAGTCAGTGAAGTGAGTGTTGAGAGTGTCGTCCTTCTCACAGCTGAGGATCGACTCCACCGGTCACAATGCATCAAATCTAAGTTCTTTTCTCCTCTCTTTCTTCTTTCTCTCTCTCCCCCACTATTTTTTTTTATCTCTTTTCTTCTTATCACATTCTCTCCTACCTTATGTTCTCTGTCTGTCCCTCTCCCCTTCTGTATTTCCTTCGCTGCTCTCTCCTTCGTCCACGCAGACCATCACTGACACCAGTCCGATGCGACGCTCCACCTCCAGCCTGGTCCATGGACGTACAGGTCGGGGCGTGAGGCTGGACGACTACTCCCTGGAGAGGGTGGTGTCTGAAGAGGGGAGACACGGAGGAGGACGCAGACACAGAGACAGGAGTCACCGTGCCTCACAGCGCTCCCTGACCAGATATACAGACGCAGACACGGGTGAGCCACTCATAGTGGACATCTATATGCTACCTTTCATGCTACCCTAACATCTTGCTTGCATCTGCAAATCTACACTGAACGTTTACAGCTGTAAATACCTCAATGTATCTCCAATGTTGAATTTACTTAATGTAGGTTACAGTATCAAAGTAATGAATAAAAATTCCAAACCAGCAGCCTCTACTGGCGTACAGTAGCTCAGACAGGTGGTGTGGTCTGTCTGTCCATTCAACACTTGGGACCAGAATGAAATCTGAACAACTTCAGTATTGTATAGATTTCTATGACATGGCATATAGTAATTTTGAAATGAGAATGAAAATGTAAAATTGCATTCTTTATCCTAACTTTAGCTTTAACATGTTAACCTGCTGGCATTTGTATCCGTATGTGGCATTTTATACGCTATACAGCTCAGCTATACAGCTCAGCTATACACAGTAAGGGCGTACACTCTATGCTAGCTGAGGTTGATGAAGTAGCCTGGTTAGAGGATAAACAACACTGGCCTTTCCTTAGACACTGTAGCAGCATCCATTGCTGTCTGCCAAAACGAAGATTAAGATAATAAGAGAATATTTGTGTGCAAGCCTTTTAGCTAGTTTCAGGAAGAGTTGGACATTCTAATGTTTTCCTGTGAGCTGTATTTGCAAGAGCACAGTCAGCGGAAGTTCATTTTCTATCCCAAATCAGTGACTACACAACACACTTGGGTGATAAGAAATGCTACTCCTGCCATTATATATGGGGTGATTACATAACAAAGAAATTTTCATGCAACCATAACATGAACAAAGTACGCAGTGTTGCTTTATGGTTTGGTCAAGGACGACTCAGTAGCAGTTTTTGAGGCAATTAAGAGCAATCTGTGCATTTATTGAGCTAAGAGAGCAGAGTTGTCATCATATTCACTACATTTTATGTGAGTCAAGTCTTGGCACAAAGAAGTCCTTGAAAAGAACATTGTGCAAGCAGATAGCCCACTTCATCAGTAATTGCAAGTGCAAATTGCATGCTTCAGCTATAAAACTAATGTAACAAGGCTGGCACAGTTAAACTCTAAATCCCCCTTATAATTGGAGAGCTCTCTAATCTGATGGAGAAGACTTTCTGCTTTCCAGACTCGGTAGTGAAGGTGGTGTTTTTAAGTTTGTTTTCTTTACTCTACATTTGACTGCACAGGTATAGTGGATTCTTGCATGGATAGGCATTTAATTTTTTCCCTTTAAAATTTGGCACTTTCATTGCTTTAGGTTGTTTATTTCACTTTTCCCATATAAAAAGAAGAATCTTTTATCCTACATTAACTTGCAGGAGATGTTGTAATCTTAAATTGCGTGGTGTAGCTCATATCTTAACAAAATAATGTGTTCTCTTGTATTTATCAATGTAAACTGAGACATATCCTTGCTAGGCCTGGGCACAGACCTCAGCACTACCACGCAGTCGGGCGACCTTCCACCCAAGGAGCGCGAGCGGGACCGCGGCCGGACCAAGGACCGCCGTCACCACCATCACCACCATCACCATCACAGCTCCATGGACAAAGAGCGCTATGGCCCTGACCGCCCTGACTACACCCACAGGCATCCACACGACCGCCACTGGTCCCGCTCACCCAGTGAGGGGCCTGATGGACGAGGACACAGACAGGTGGGCTCCAAAGACACTGAGATTAATGCCAAGTGTGCATAAAATATTAGTGACAGTTTTCCAATACTGTCCAATACTGTCTTTACTGTTCCTGTTGTTAATTTCCATATACAGTGTGTAGAATACATTATATAAAGCTTATCACTCAATACAGGTTGGATAAAAACCCTAATGTGCCTGGAGGATGTTCTGTACTGTCATTATGGATACTAAAGTGCAGAGGATGGTACTTTACTTTACCTAGTTACATTATACTCAATCTTGTAGTCACAGTAGTGTAGGCTTTCTTTAATATTAGCCAAAATATTTTCCAGGTATTTGACTGCTTAAAATCCAATAAGTTGTGTTTGTCATACAGTAGGTCTAGCTGTTTGATGTGTGAATCCCAGTATATATCTGTTACTAGGAACTGAGCACAGAGGTGAAATATAAAAAAAGAAGTGATCCTTAACTCGTGCATTTTGCTCCCACCACAGCATCTGTTATTTTATCCAGTAAGAGTTCGCATAAAGTCAAACACCTACTTATGGATATCAATCTCTCTTTTTTGTTTTATGCTTTTTTCTTTATCACTGTTTCTCTCTCTGTCCATTTTTCTTCAACGTGATGTGTGGCTTCTTGGTGTCAATTTTTTGCCTCATCACTATGTTTTTGAATGATTTTCAATGGTGTTTATCTATCTATCTATCTATCTATCTATCTATCTATCTATCTATCTATCTATCTATCTATCTATCTATCTATCCCTCCCTCCCTGTCTCTCTATCTCTCTATTCACCACCACTCTGCTCTACTCTGGTCTCTGTTGTTGTGGTGCGTTTTGATTTTCCTTGTTTACATTTTGCTGTAGGGCAGTAGTTCGGTGAGCGGCAGCCCGGTCCCGTCCACTTCGGGGACCAGCACTCCTCGGAGAGGCCGTCGGCAGCTGCCCCAGACCCCTGCTGTCCCCCGTCCACATGTCACCTACTCTCCCGCTGTCCGCAAGCCTATCTATGGTCCCCCAGGGCCGGGCCGACTCCGCTCCCCCTCCCCCCGACACTTCTCCCCGCCAGACCACGACAGAGGCTACCACCACCGACCCCCGTCACGCCAAGCTTCTCCCCACCACGGGGGCTCCTCGTCCCGGCACGGTTCGCCGCGCTCCCCTAGGCACCAGTCCCCACGCTCGCCCCTCCATGGCTCACCTAGGTCCCCTCACCGAGGCCGCTGGAGCGGGCCTCCGCCAGGGGACAGCCTGGAGGGCGACGGGCCCTTCTACGAGCGTGACTACGAGTACGAGCGGCACCATGAGCCCCCTGCCTACGAGCAAAGCCTCTCCCATGGCAACCCACACCCACATGGGGGAAATCCTCATCCACACCCTCGCTCACCTAGGACTGCCCGCCATGGGCCCCCTCCACCCCCTCACCCGCACCCACGTAGGGTGCCCAATGGCTACCGCTCATCCTCACCTTCCCCACATCGGCGGGGGCCGCCAGGGGCACCCCCCCACCCGCACCACCGCCCACCCCATGCCCGAGGGCCCCGCAAGGGCCTGCATGAACCTTATAGTGAGACGGACGAGGATGACTGGTGCTAGCAACCACAGGGAGCGAGGGATAAGGGCAGGAGAGGAGAAGAAGAATAGCAGTCTCCGGTGCTCTGGCCTTGGACATGTAGACTTTTAATAAAGCCGAGGTTGTGAAAATGTTAGGCGGTACAAGGTTGAGCACCTTCCAAACCCTCTACCTTCAGCCCTAGAACTCTAAATGAAAGGAAAGGGCAGAGGGGAGGGGGGGGGAGGGTGCTGCAAATAGCTTTTTACAGATTTTGTGTTAGTCTCAAATCAGTGACAGAGCAGCGCATGGATAAAATGACAAAGAGACAGCCAAGACAAATAGGGCAAGGCCCGGGCACAGTTTACCTCTGCCTCTCTCAGTCTCAGAACTACTAGAATTCTGTGCTTGACCAGCAAGGCCACGCTGCAGAAGGAAGAGAGAGGTATGGGAACAGGAAAGCGAGGGAGGAGCATGTAAAATGACCAGGGATGATCGTGGTTTGAGGCCTAAAAGCACTTCTCCCAGACTGTCAAGTGATTGGTTAGTTTCGTAAGATGTGTGCTATCTGTCGCTGGTTAATCTGCTCATGTAAAAGCCAGAGTCCACTGTTTTGACTTTGCTCCTCAAACAGATGTGTTTAAAGAAAAATAAATTAACAAAAAGCCAGGACCCCTAACCCTTACATGCCAAGCTATGCCTCCAGAAAATCAAACTTGAACAATGAAGAACAAAATGAAAACTTTACAAACAATGAAAAGAAAAAAAGGGAGAACAACCACTTTATCTTTAACCTTTTTCCTTTCCAAAGGACAGAACCAGGAAGCTCCGCCTATACTGCAAAAACCAGCCAATCACAGTGCTGGCTGATATTTGATGAGTTTTATCATCTCTGTTTACTGTTAAAGACTCACTTAATGCTGACGGAACTGGTGTGACATCACTTCCTGTCCGGCGGTGGTGGTAGTGGAAGGGGGCCGTCACGGTGTGAGCTCACTTCCTGTTCGAGTGTGCTATGGGAGTGTGGGCTCAGATAACTTGAGAAGGGAGTCGGACACTTCGTCAAGCCCCTTCCTCCTCGGTTAATCGACCCGGCGCAAGGCGAGGAATGATCTGACAGGAAATTACATCACACGGTTGAGTGGGGCGGAGGAGAGGAAAGGAGGGATGGGGAAAAAGACTAATTTCTTCAGTATTTCTTCTATCGATTACTTCTCCTTCTTGTTCTTCTTCGGACATTGGAGCTTGGTTCTTCTGTTGCATTCGCTCAGCCTCCTTTGATCTTTTTTGGAGTCCAAAATTTGATGGAAACCTGCATGATTGAATAAATACATACTAGAGAGGAAATCTAACTGGTGTGGGTGGGACCTGGGGGCTTTATAGGAAACTTTGCATTTAGGTTTACAAAAGAAGTTCTCTTCTTTCAGACTCTCTCTCTCTCTCTCTCTCTCTCTCTCTCTCTCTCTCTCTCTCTCTCTCGTACATCTCAAATGTAATTTTAGCTTACTTTTTACCCGAAACAGGCTTTGACAGTCGGCTGTTTTGTTTGTCTCAGTTTTCTGCCGACACGGTTACAAAGCTTCGTTTCTACAACCTGTTAAGACGGGAAACACTGCAGGCTCACATTAAAGTTTCCTGTTGATCTTGAGAAACAAGAGGGAGAAAGAGTGGGGAGAAGCGGACTTCTACCACACTTAATTTATTATTGTTAATGATAGTCTTATGAATAATGATATCAATGTCAATGCAAAACGATGATGACAATGATGATACTGATGATTGATTGATTGATAGAACTGCTGTAGATTTGTTGTCATGTTTTTGAAGTTTATCTGTGCTATGTCCATCTTGTTTACATCGGTTATATTTTTATCCCCCCCATTCAATGACGTTTACCGGGTTCCTGATGCCTTCCTGCAACGTTTTGGGGCAATGACGGCTTGGGAACATTCACTTAGCAGCGTTGCGTGTTGTAACGCAACTCTTACGATACACTCTCTCTTCAGAATGGTGGAGGTAAAGGTCAGGGGAGCTTCCTGCTACCTGACTTGCAATGATTCATGGGGTCAGTACTCTTGTCAAGCCTACCCAGAGATCAAGAATTCATGCAGGGGTAGACCAGGTCATTGAGAATGTGGAAGAGTTTGTCTGCCTTTTACAATGCAAAGGTTTCACATAACCCTGTTTTACTGAAGTTTGAATTCTTCCACTGGCAGCCAAAAAACGAATCTCAATCTTTTCCCTCTGTCAGGTTCTGTAGTTTTGTTGTGAGATTGGTTGCCAGCAGTGACAACACAGTATCGGTGGTACAGTGTTAATGTCAGTTAGTATCCGGTGGTGTTCTCTTTTTTTGCCACCCGGGGGCAGTTATCAGCGCACATTATCTGCCCTGACTTCCCCCTCTGTAGGACAGCCTCCGCGCCACATCCTGGTTTCTAGATCTGCTTACGCCTGTCTCTTATATCTTTGTAAGATATATAGATGTAGTCCCATCCTAGTCAAGAAATGTGGATGTAGCCTGGGAGACGCCATATCTGTCCGTTTTATTGTCCGTCCTTCGGCCTGCCTGTCTGTGCCAATGCTGACCCCTCCTCCAGCCCCTTCTCTCAGGTCTGGATAACCAGAGTTCAGTCACCAAATCACCTATCCAATAATATGAAGTTGTAGCAAAGCTGAGACTTCTTCTGCCAAAACCCACTTCAGTATTCACCAACCTCTCTGTCCTCATTTAATTTTTATTTTTCTGTCCATTTGCTTTGACATCTGTTCTTTCAGCTTGCCAGAGAGCGACACTGAAGACACAAAGGCATTACAGGACAGAAATGCTTAGGACTAATTATCTCATCCTTATTGTTATGAGGGACAACAATTATTGAATATTCAATAACTCTAGGACAAGATGATAAAGTATAGATACATATAGATGATAAACTATAAATCTAGATATAGTACAGTAGATGTAGTTATAGATAACAGACAGAGTTTAATTAAAGTTTCAGATATTTATTTATTTTGCATACCGTTCATATTCATGACACGGTCAACGATCTAGCTACTCTTGAAACCTCGCACTGTTTTCTTCAGTCGCAGAAGCCAGTAAACAAACCCCAGTCCACGTGTTTTGACTCTATGCAGACCTCATAAGCATCCTCATTATATTATTTTGTAAGAGAAACTGCAGCGCTGTGGAACTGTAACGGATTAATTAAACTGGAACACGCGGATCTGAGAAAATGTTAAGATCGACACCACGTTTGCACACGCCACTTGACATCACATCCACAGTGAAACCTCTGTCTTTCATGTACCTCTGTCGCTGTCTAATTCCCCCCTCTTCTAGAGGATCCCTTTTCCCTCCCCGTCTTTCTCTCCTCTCCCAAAATATGTTGCCTCCAGGCCTAGTAATGAGCATAGCATAGTGAAGATGTCGATTGGGGGGGGGGGGGGTGTTTTGTTGATTGTTAAATTGTTTGGCTGGAGTAGAGGGACACAAACCCGAAACCCCTCTGCCCTCACTTCCCATAAAGAGAGGTTACGGCAGGTGGGGACGCTTCCCCAAAACCCCCTACAGAGCCACAGTGCCTTCTGTATCAGAGTCACATTCGTCACCCCCCAATCTCTTTGCCCCTAGCCAATCCTGTCTACCCCCCACCCATTGTAGGAGTTGAGATCAACCACACTACGCCTTAAAAGTCAAGTCTCACAGGCTCCCATGCTAGCATAGAAACAGGGAGAGCTGTGATTTTGAGACTGGGCCAGAGGAAATAGCCAAAAGGTTGGACTTGATGTAGGGAAATCAATATCACATCCGGTATGGGCTTAATCACTTTAAACTCCCATTCAAATATCCACACAGTTTAAATTAGAGCCTCGTGTTTTTGACTTTTAAAGACTCAAATGGTCATTGTTGATATACCGGATGCTGCTAACAGGCTAGCCCTCATGGCTTCACCTCCCTTTTAGGCGTGGCATGTTTCGGCCATCGGAGAGATGTCGTGGGTCCAGTTTCAGGCGGTGTAGTGAAAGGTTTACAGAGGTGCAAAGCAGTTGGCTTACTTCTCAGGTCCCTCTAGTGTTAGGTAGCTAGATAGTTAGACAACATAGGGATGAGTCCGCTACGAAACAAGCAGGCCTTGGATTGGGTTATTGTATGGTTTTACCTGGCGTGGCATTATACGTAGTAATGTTGACCTCCCCACCCCTTCCTTTCACTAACCTACATTACACACTCTGACCATTCACCTCCCCATCCGCCGCCTGCTAACGTACCAACACTCCAAGCTTGTTGACAGACAGGCAGGAACACCCCGCCTCCATTTTGGCTCCACAACACCACTCGCTTGTCCAGAATTGTAACAGCGGATCCAAAATGGCCGACACACAACACTGCCCTTGTGTGAAAGCATGTTGTGTGTTCTTTTCCGAGAGCGAATCCCATTCTTTTGGGGAAAAATATAACATCTGATCTTTCTTGTTTATGTGGTTGTTTCACTGATATTTTTGAAAGAGGTTGGGGGGATTGAAGGTTTTTGCTCAGCCATTACTTCTCTCCACGTCTGCTTTCTGCGTCTTCACCTCCGAGTTCTGTCACCCATCAGTCTTAACCTCCGACTAATCATTTTTTTCTTGTCTTCTTCATTATGGGACGAAGGAAAAGCTAACAAACACACCAACCCATCCACTCAGTCGGCTGTGAAATTGTGTCAGTTGGGCAGTTGTGAGGCAACGTGTCGACAAAAACATGAATAAGGGCTCTCTTTAAAAAAAACTACACAGTGGGTTTTAATGTACAGTAGTGCTGCCAAAAGTTGTGCTTATGTAGCTGAAGCCACGCTGTGGTCTCCCCTTTGTACAGCACTAGATGTGTGCATGCGTGTGTGTGGAGGGGGTCAAGAGTGAGACAGGGAGGGAGGGACGGGAGGGTCAAAAGGCAATGAGAGAGATTTTAATTATGTAGGGGTCCTGTTTGGGGTGGAGGGGATAGTTTTGGGGAGGGAGGAGCAGCAGCAGCAGAGGTCGTAGTGATGTTAACACACAATTTCACAATGGCACTGGACCACTTTTCAGACTCATCCTCATGCTCAAATGCCATTTTGTCACCGTCACCCCACCCACTCTTGGTCGCACTTTGAGGGGGGCGGAGTTACTGCTGCGACAGGGAGACATTCACTGTATGTTTGTGTCTTGGTGTCTGTGAGAGTGTGTAAAAGTATATACATGTATATGCAGGTGTTTTGAGCGCCGTGCGAGTGTGTTGAGGGCTGAAACTGATTATTTTTATCATTGATTAATCTGGCAATGATCAATTCATTAGTCATGTAGTCAGAAAATGTTTTTAAAAATGCAACTTTTTCATGTTTTATATATTTTTTTGTTGTTTCAGGACTACTGGTGTATATCAGCTGTTGAGCTATACCCTTTAGATAGATAAGGTAAAATAAGATAGAAAAACAATTTCCTTTTTCTTTTTCTCAATATACATAGCATTTCTTGTAAAGTAAAATAAAATATGAGTAAAACTACAAATACTTAAATGAAAGTGTGGTGACTATTTGACAAATTACCACAAGTAAGTGAAAGTAGCAAATCCTCCTCGAACCAGACACCTAGGCATTTTTGGTTAATAAACTACTTAAACATTTAAAAGCGGGGTATGCGATTCTAATCCAATACACCTCTTTTGTCAAATTCAGCAAATACCTCCTTACGGTGCGCTGGAAAAAAATTCTGGTGTTCGTACACAGCCCTTGCCTTGTAAATGGGAAACAAATAAAGTGGCCCGCCACACAACACTATTCCAACCATTCCAGCCATGATTAGTGTGTCAGGTAACATTAGATGAGTTTCCCGGGGACATTCAGCTTACTTTCTTGTTTGCCAAGATATTCTGTTATGATGATAGCCATAGTAGCAGGAGAGTTGTGAGTATCGCTGTCTGGAGCTGGTGTGCGGGCTTCGCCAGCAGCTGTAGCAACAGTTTAAAAACCCACAACTTAGCTAATGTTCGTTAAATTACTTGCTGTGTCGTTGTTCACTTTATATCATGGTACTGGATTTCTCCAGAATCAAATTGATTATCAGTATTATTGTTTTATTGTTGGGTTGATTAATCAATTAATCAACTAATCGTTTCAGTACTAAGTGTGTGTGTGTGTGTGTGTGTGTGTGTGTGTGTGTGTGTGTGTGTGTGTGTGTGTGTGTCCTTACACCATCAGCTACAGTAGGTAACCCTCAGTGCCTTACACTGTACAGGACACAATGATTTGTCCTTCTGAGACAATCACAGCGCACACACATAAGATTTTAATGTCCTCACCGCCTTCTTCATCCTCCTCTCTCCCTACCTCACCTACTCTTCACCTTCCTTTTGGATCATTAAGTCAAGTCTGGATGGGTGAGGGTGGAGGGGGAGGAGGGTCAGTAGATAATCATGTAATTTCTCTCACCCATTCTCTCCTGTGCCGTTTATTGTATATTTTGGCTCTGTAATTCTTGTGTATATAATCCATAAACTTTCTGAAAAACTCATTGTGTTCATCTTATTTTCATTAATTCTGTCTTATCTCGCTGTGTTTCATTCGTCCTTCTCAGCATCTTCACTTTGAGTTCATCTTTCTGTTTCTCTCCCCTCCTCCCTCATGTAACACCATTCATAAACACAAGGTGGTGGGATTGAGCTTTCACCATTATCACTCATTATGAAAGGTGTACCCAATGTCTGTAAATGCCCTGTAGGTTGAATGAGTTCATGCTTGCCAGTTCATGCTTGCGCATGTGTGCGTGGGTGTGTTTTGTCTGTAAATGGATGACTGCAGTGTGTTTGCTGTGTGCTTGTCTTTGCAAATGTCTTAAGTTCTTTATGGATTCCAGCAGGTATTAGGGGTGAATTTCCTGTTGATTTCTGCACAATAATTTATAATTCATTCACTTGCATTAATAAGTTATATTCTCCAATTACTTTATTTGTGTGCACAAATTAACAGAAGATTGTGTTAGCCCATAAAATACAATATGTTTAAAGCTGGACTAATCAACTAGGGAGCAAAACAAAACCCTAATATATTATCACCTTATGGCTAAAGTTTATCCAGCAGACACGGAGTTGTGTTTGTGTCTCCCCAATTAATTAAAGTTCTTGTTTTAGCTCTGTTTTGGTCTATAACAAATTCTAAGAAAAAATCTGATAAACTGCTAGATGTTTCCCAGCTAGTTGCTAACTTTATCTGCTGTTTGTTGCAGAGAGTGAGGAAGGAGAAGGCTACTGAGACAACTTCTGATGTAGCATAGGAAATGTTTGAGAGAGCGTCTTTGATACTGGATTAAGTTCAGTAAATTGTGTGCACATCTATAGCCTACTGAAACACAGCTGCTAGCCTGACTTTAATGCTGTGGGTGCTCCTTGCTAATACCGTTAATTTGAAGACAGGACTTATTAAAGCGAGGAATGAGGAATACATTTTTTGTGCATATGTTATCAAACATTGATCCTCAGAGACATGGGTGAAATGTCTCCTGCTGCCGCCATAGCAACTCTCAAGTCCCCTCTCTGTATTTCCATCTATCTCCGTCTTTATTTCAAATTTTTCTCCATTTGTTTCCATTACCATCAGCCCAGTGGAGACATGTTGCTTCCAGAAGATCTGTCCTCATGTTTTGACGTCAGCGTGCTGGACGCTGGACGCCGATCTCTCCCAAAACATCTCAAGGTGCCCCAAGATCAGGAAATTAGCAGGATCTAGTTTTAACCCTTTGTAGCACAGATTTGATTACTCTCTGACAAGTTGGATTTATTGTAATGTCTTTGACTCATGACTAGTCAGAGAAGATTTTGGGGTCCTTGAACCGAACATATACCAGACAAATATTCTAACAGAAATATAAACAATAATGTGATTGGTTTAGGTTTGCACAGGCCAAAATGAACCATTAGCTCCTTCACTGGACAAGGTTTTGGTAACCTATCATCTGATAGAAGTAGAGATTGAGGAGCCAAGAAATCTGAAAATGGAATGTAAAGATTTGGGACAGATTTGTCTCGTCGTCTCTGGCTTTCATACAGGTTTACACTAAAACCTGTATTTTAACTAACAATTTACTTGATGTCGCTTTGCAGTTAGAAATATCACAATCATTTATTATTTATGTTCCTTATTACAGCTATATGATTCTTAGGTGACATTTGGTAAAATAATCAAACAGTTCAAACATGCTAACAAGCTTAGGGAGTAAAAGCTTCAGAGTAAACTACTCCAAACATAAAATACAACAAAACAAAAATATTAATGATGAGATTGCCACCATTGGATGGAGAAAAGCAGCTACAAAGGGTTAAATATAACTTCAAAGTATCCAAATACAATAAAAGTCAGTGCAGAGACGCATTGGGGAAACTCTCTGAAGCAACTACCAACCACCCATCTCATCACCATGCAAACCATCAGACACTTGACCCAGTAGAAACCGAACCAGTGCCACAGTAGAAAACCATACAGGATTCACTCAGTAAGTTGGGGGGGAAAAAAGAGAAAAAATAAACATACATGGCAATTTAAGATAAAAGAGAAGTATTTAATAACAGATTTGCATGTGCAATGTGCATGCCACTATGTGGGGTAACAAGTCAACTTCAGGAATTAAAAAAATAAATATCAAGAAAAAAGTATATATGTAAAAATATATATAGATAGATGTTTTTAAGAGCAATGTGTTTCTTTTTTCTTCTATTTTTAAAAACAAAAAATGAAAAAAAAACTTGACAAAAAAAAAAAAAACGAAAATGAAACAAAAAAAAAAATCATCCTGATAAAAAAAAAAATGGAAATGACTTTGGTGATGAAATCAAAGAATGTTTGTTTGTTATATTTGCCAGTTATTTCACGGGGAAAACCTGTGAGGGAACAAGGATAGTTAACACTTTAACTAACATTACAAAAAAAAAAGAAAAAATGATTTTAAAAAGGGGGAGAAGGAATACAAAACTTTTCCTTAATGAAAAACAATCCCTTTGAGAGTAAAGAGCTGCCTGAATCTGAATCTGGTGATGTTATTCCCGTTTATTCCGGCTATGAAATCCCTTCTTTCTCTCTCCCTCTCTCTTTCTCTGACCATCTCCTTCTCTGTTTCTTTCTCTATCTATCTCTGCTGTTTCTACCAGTGCATTTTGTAATTTCAAACAGAACTCTTCCTAAAGAACCTGAATAAACCAGAGAGAATGCATTCTACCCATCCCGCTGTCTGTTTTATTGAGCCTGCACCCAGTAACACACACTTTAGTAATGAGATTACACATAATCAGATAATGTTTTCATTGTCTAATTACAGGTGCAAAATTGTTAATTTAAAGGAAAGGGACAACATTTAGGAAAATATGCATATTGGCTTTCTTTCTTAAATATGAAATATTAAATAAGAAGTTTGGACACTCCACTGCTTCGCTGCAACCATGTGATGCTGACAAGACAACTTCCATTTTTACAATTTGATTTCTGTGTGGTTTAAACATAGTAATTAGTCACCTTTAAAGATGTTGGTTAGCAGTTTTTGTTGCCTTCAGACAGAGCCAAGCTACCTGTATCCCCCTGCTTCCAGGCTTTGTGCTAAGCTACCTCCTGGCAGTAGCTAGCCAAAATGTCAAACTATATCTTTATGTTATACATTATGAATATGTTATCTTTAACACAATAACATTTTTGTTGGCCAATTATTAAAACAGTTACCTATTATGAGCTTTTACACCCTTTAAAACTGAGTGCAGAAGTCAGCCATAAAGGATACAGTATAATTTTTTATATTTATTTTTTTTGCAGCATATTACAACAGAAATACAGATCAAGTGATAGTTACAGTGGCACTTAATTTAAGGATTAGACTGGAGTTATTCTATATTTTTTATATTTTTAGCAAATCCCATGAAAAGACAAAAACCACAAATGTATTCATCGCTAAATGCGTGACTCCCTTATCCTATCTGTGGTACTCAGCGCAAAGCCCACTGGTTCCTACTGAAGATGTAAGTCTTTTAAACAGCTCACAAATATATAGTTTTTATCTTGTGTCTGACAACATCATGGGAAGAATCCCTAATAGAGGTAAGCTTTTTGACTGTGTCGCTCTCATCAAAGCCACCAGACTCCCTTTACAAAATAGTATTTTTACCTCTCTGGTCTACGGTTGCCTCGACTGTGTAACTTTGGTGTTTTTTTTACCTTTTTAAAACACCAAAGACACACAATAACACAAACAAACTAACCAACCGAGGCAGTGGTAGACCGGCAACTCTGGTGTGCTGCAAAGTAAAATTGCTTTTTTGCTTTGATGACAGCGATATAGAGACGTTTTTTAAACAAAAATGATCTTACTCTTTAAAATGTCTATTTCTGTAGGGATCCTTTCTGCAATGTTGTCAAACACTGTAATAATAATCTGAGCCTGTCAGTTTGTGCTAATTTCTGCTTTTCCTCCAGTGCATTTCAGAGGCAAATCTACACTACTAGGAAACTGCTCCTGGGCCCAGGAACCCCAAAGGTGCCAATAGCACAAAAAGTTCACAGTGCATTAATTGTTTGCACATAATTTGATTAACAGCCAAGTTTCCTAATCTTGTGGCCTTTTCTTGAAGAGAATCCCGTGTCAAAATTTACTTTTAAGGCTGATCTCAGACCTTATTTCATATTCTGCTCAAATTGTGCATATTCCTAACCCAATTTGTATTTAATCACTCATTGTTACAAACTGAAACAATGTCTGCCCATGATACATACACTATATGATAGGAACTTGGAGGTGACAGGGTAAATACACAAAGTACATATGGTGTTACTTTATAGACAAATATTTTACACACAAAACTTATTTCAAAATAAAATTAACCTATAAAATATGATTCATTTTTATAGATGAAGTGATCGGCAGCAGCACCTGAACCACCTACGACATCAAAAATACTGTATAAAAATTAATACTTTGCAGGACTTTTACTAGACTTTTTTTTTTCTCATGTCCAACTTTTTAAGGATGTGAACACTTCTCCCGTCACTTACATAAATGCAGTTTTATATTTTTGACAGCTTTCTGATTTACATAGATGATAACAGTATTATTTATTAGTAATAACTGTTATTCAGGGAAGTTGTCAATGTACATAAAGTGGCAAAGAGTACCCAGTCACATCTAACAGGTTCTTTTTTGGATTAATGTTTTCAAAGGAAAACTAATAATCATTTAAGTAGCAAAATCCATCAGGATAAACTTTCTAAATTTGATTTCATAAATTCTACAGACATTATACTGCGTGATACAATAAACAATCACAATAAGTAATGTAACTGCTGTTCAATACAGTTTCACATACAAGCTAATTATAAACCATCACAGGTGAGATGAAGCTGCAAAATATACCATGCTGGTTCTCCTTCTATTTAAGAATTTAAAACATGTTGAAATCAAACGACCCCCTCTCTGAATGTCCTCAGACTGCTTCCCTCCTCCTCTTTCTCCTCTTCTCTGTCTACGTCTAGCACTACGTCACTGGTGTGGGCTGTGGAAGACACACACACACAATCTTTTGCTATGTCCTGCACTTCCCCCTCCCTGTGTAGTCACGTTTTATTGATATCCCTCCTCCTTTTACATCCCTTCCTCCCCCTTCTTTCTTTGATCGCTTGCTGCTCTTCCTGCAGCCCTCCTTCTCCTCACATCTGTCCTTCCTCCTCCTCTCTGTCTCTCTGTTTCCCACCTCCTCATGCACACACACTGGGTGGCATTCAAATGACACCTAAAGAGGCTAAAAACACAAGAAGAATTATCTTTTAATGTGATTATTGTGAAAAGATGCAATTATCTGTGGGCTTTAAGGACATTTAAAAACACTAAAAGCATAGCCCCTGGCCATTAGCCTGCCCACTGCAGCATGAACACACACGTGTGCGCACACACACACACACACACAGCTGTACAAGGCCAGATGTATTAGAGTGCTCTCCTGCATCTGAGTCTTAAAATAGACTCCTCCTACACATTCTGTCGCCCGCCGGCATCAACGCATCACTTCCTGTCTCTGTCAGCTCTGCTGCTGCTCACACACACACTCACACACACACACTCACACACACACACACACACACACACACACACACACACACACACACATTCTTACTCATTCACATTCTTGGTTAGTCAGTCCTCTGCTGTACTGAAGTGTCTCAATCAGTCACACAGTCAGCGCTGTGAGAGTATAGACTGTATGTGTGAGAGGCATGTGGTCAGCCTCTTGACATGTGATCATCAGATAATTACTGACACACACACACACACACACAGAGAGATACAACACATGATTACTTCCTCTCCACAAGACACTTTCAAACTGAATTTCAACAGGGTATTACTTCCTGTTCACAGAAACGCAGTTTGCTCAAAATGGGCTGTTGGAGGTTAATATTGAATCTGATCTTTTTGCATTTAAAGTTACTAACTGATATGTTGAGCCAAATAACATAAATTGTACCATTCTTATTCCAGAATTGTTGAACATTTATCTTAGACAATTTTAGTCCGTTAATCAATGAACAAAAATACACAAATGATGATCACATTAAATATACTCAATATGTTTAGAGTCATCAGTCATGTACTGTCTGAACGTTACTTAGGGAAGGGGAGTTCAGAAAAGGTTGAGGGTTATATATGTTTTTATATCTGGTGAGTCTAACTGAGCATTGGATGGTATTTTAATTTTTTACTCACCCCAAATAAATTTTTTCTTTTCATCAATTAAAAAGACAATTGATGGCTGTAGGACAGCGATCCTGTCTCTATTTCAGTGCTTAATTTTCCCCATCACAAGTCAGGTTTCCATCCACATTTAGCAAACACACATCAAAAGAATTAATGTATGCTACTATCCACTACCATTATTCATATATTAGGAGTTGGTGCATCAAGATGAATGGCTAGTGGTTCTCATTCTCCCGTCAGGTGCTATTAAACCATTGCAAAAATGAGAGGTGACAGCGGCAATCAAATCTCAAAAGATGGAAAACTATGTAGAAAGCAGGATGGAAATACGGCATTTCACTTTGTTTCTTAGATCAATTTGAGGAACGTTACAGTCTCATCATCGCTCCTCACAGACCTGATGTTTTTGTCTGCCACTATTTTCCCTACAGTGGAGCAACAGCTTTAGTGGACGTCGTATTTTAGTGTGTTTCCATTACACTTTGTTTTTATCAGTACACCGATGTTTCCACCTTAGCCAAGCAGAAATGAGTTATGAGAAACACAAACACATGTGGGTCTTTATTGATCAAGTTTAGCCTTATATATTATTGAATTATTCTAAAATAAAAAGTGGCAGGAGTATTCATAATTTTGTTATGTTTGCCACTTCAAACGTGTGTATTAGTAGCTGTTGTGATTAGTATTCCACCTCTATATTGAGGTTTGATTTAGATCATAAATGATTTATGCTTTGCCTCTTTAGCTATTTAGATTTGAAATATTGAAATATTTGAAATTGAAAGTGAAATATAAATAAGCCTCAACCAGCCCATCCCAATAATGTTTTGTACATTCCCTTAATTTATAAATGTTTATAGTCAAATTCACTTTATGCTACTTTTTTATATTAATGTGACACCCAGATGCGTTTTTTAATTCAGTTTAATAACACAATCAGTGTCATGCAGTAATAATTTACATTTCAAACTAGTATGTAATCTAACCACAATACGGTCGTCATAATGGAGGTGTACACCATGAGATATAGGATCAAAGACCCTGTATTGGCCCCCACACATCTTCACCCGACTCCTTCACTCTGATTGGTTGCACAGTGTATCTGCCTCCATCACAGGCAGAAGCGTGCCGATCGATGCATGCATGCATCCTGTGTGAAGACATTTCCTGCGCTGATCTTTTTTTAGCTCTGAGCTGTTATAGCTCCACGTCACTGTGACTGTCTGGCCTCTGTTCTCTGCATCTTAATCAGGCTGCACACATATATGGACGTCACAGTGCAGGACTGGGTGACGGTGGTCCACTGAAAACATGTCTACAATTTGCTTAGCTTGCTGTAGCAGCAGTATTTTTGTTAGGGATGTTTTTTGTGCAGCAAGACATGTTAGGGGAAGATTTTACTCCAATGTTGGTTGGTCTGTCTTTCCATCACTTTGGTCAAAACTGAAATATCTCAACTTCGACAGGACTGACTGCCATGAAATATTGCT